CTTGCCTTGTTAATATTCAGTCTGGCTTATCCTGTGTCTGTGGGAGGCTATCCATACCCATTTCCTTGGGAATCTGCAGCTGCCTCTACTCCTGGCAGGTTATGCAGATATTATTGGTTTTGGCTGCAGCTGGAAAAAACAGGCAGTTTTCAAAGGCAGAGTCTCCCTCGAGTGGAACAACATTGCAAAAAGTTTGTTATTGGACTTGGGATATAGCATGTGGTGGTCTCTCCATCATAGCCATGTGGTTGGAATTGGCAGGCTGTGGTCTTCTATAGGTATTGCCTTTCAGGATAGTGATCACCAGCTTTTCATGAGATGATGCTGGCTGTGTTTAGAAGGTTCCCAGACAGATTGTTCACGTATCACACCTTGTCCCCATGAGCTGTCTGCTATAGGTGAGTTAATTTGAGACATTTTTGGAAGAAGGGTCCTTTTTCTCTCCCTGTATCTCCAGGGAATGTTTCAGTGAAGTGTCTGTAGGCATAGGTTTGGTGTGTGATCCTGGCAGCACCCATGGCCAAGGGAGCTGGGAACGCTCAGCAAATTGTTACGTAAATGCTGCCGCTCTTCTGGCACTTGAGGGAACGTGGTATTAGTAAGCATTTGTCTAATACTGAAGATTTTTTGCAGATCAAAGACTTAATATATGCCACATGCTGCAGAGGAGCTTACAGCAGAACATGTACAATCGTGCAGTCCAATAGTCCAGCAAAAATGGATTATTCCAGAGCCAGTCAGTGCTGTTCACTATGTCTGGGAAGGGGCAGGATCGAAGGATGGGGGAATATTTGCTTCAAGATGTGTCAAGCAGCTCGAGTAGAATTCTCTGCATCCTGTAGTTGTTGAAGAAGTAGCCAGGGTGGGATCCTGGTGGCACGGGGATCGTTCCCTCCCGACTGCCAAGTCCTGCCTGTGGACGAGTCTAATCTGCCTCCCAGCCAGCCTGCCCCAGCACGAGGTCAAAAAGTAATCGGTCCTAAGCAAAGCAGCAAAACAAGCAAAAGAGAAATTCTCACGCTTGCTTAGGGTGATTAGCTGGAGAGCGGATCACCCCGGGGGGGGGCTCTGTGGGACCCTGGGAAAGGCCGGTGTGTGGGAATAGCACGGAGAGTCTGTGCTCCAGAAATGCTGGGCAGTATTGCTGGTAAAGCAGGAGAGCACCCCTTGCCTTACCCTGTGGCCTTGGCCCAGTGTGTCAGATGCCATCCAGGAACTGGCAGAGGTGCCCACGAGGACGGTTTTCAGTGACTCCTGGTTTTAGGTGTGATTCCGTTCAGGTCTGTGTTTCGAGGAAGCTGGCACAACTGTGGGCCATCAGAGCCTCCCTGCTTGCCTTTATCTGGTGTTTTGTACTGACATTAATGCAGAGTTAAAATTGGTTTGGGTAATGGATGAATTTCAGAAAGAAAATGACTTTAAATGTGGTAGAAGTGTCTGCACAAGTGTTTCACTGCTCTGACTGTGGATGAATTTGAACTGAGCTTAGGCTGACTGAGGCGGCACCAGAAAGGAACCGGAGTATGATCATGTCCTGTTTTAATAAGCCTGCTTGGAAAGCCCGTTTGACAAACAGCCTTCCTCAATAACGTTGCCACAGGCTCTGGGCAGGGATTTGCACCAGGTCTCTCGGGGATTTCTGTAGCTGCCAATGCACTTGGAAGTAACAGAGAACTTCCTGCCCGATGGTCCCTTTGGCCCCGGGTGGAGGAAGCAGTTGACTGAGATGCAGTCCCAAGGGTCTTTAGAGGTGTCCCTGGTAACAGCACGCTGAAAAAGCAGGAGGAAAACTGTGTTGGTTGAGTGGAGAAGAGGTTGTTTTACTTGTACATCAACACAGATGGGTACCCCCAGTTCCCTCATCCCAAGGCAGCAGCGTACACCTAGAGGGCCAAGCTGAAACCACCTTCCATCCACCACCAGCCAGGGCCTTGGCACTGAAGCAGGAGGTGACTTTAGGATACAGGCCGATGCCACAAAGCCCCCCAGCACTTCCGTGTGTGGCTCTGCCATCGCATTGGACAGCGAGGGAGGGCTCCCATCAGAGCCATTTTTGGAGCAGGCCTGGGAAGTTCAGTTGTGCCTGATTTAGGTTGTCGTGCTAGAATGTGTCTCTCCCTATTTCTGAGCTCCCTGAGATTCCTCTCTGTTGATGGAGATTGATTTTTGCCTTTGGGAACCCGAGGGTATATACATTGTGCTCGGAATTGGCCTGAGCTGAACTAGGAGAAACTGCTGATGTGTTAGTTCCCTTCTGCAAGTGATGGATTTTATAAGCTGCCTCACGGACCACGTGTGGCTGAAAGGAACAGGAAAGGGAAGAGAGGGAAGTGAGACATCACCTGTGGATGGCATTACCCACATTGTGTTGGAGCATTTTACCCTCTCCAATTCACATCTAAATTCCTCTCCCATTCAGGGGAAAAATATAATCCCAGCCATCTACATCTGTGGATTAGCCTTTTCTCTGCTGCGTTTTTCTGCTGACCATCAGGTTGTTCTCTTGAATGAGGCAGCAAGGAAAACCATATAAACCAGCTTAAGCGGCAGCAGCCGCTCCTGGCATCAGCAGTGCTGGTTCCAGCAGCTCCCGAACTGGACGGATGAGGTAGAAGCGAAGGTGATGGCCAAGGCTGGGGCAGGCTGGATCGAAAGGTCGGGCAGGGGAGGGCTCCAGGGGTCACCCCCCGGGTTAATGACTCTCCAGTCCCTAAGCCCGCGCTGAGCACGAGGTGTTCGCCCGGAGATTAAGATGAAAGTATGTTCTCCTTGCTAAAGAGAGCACATAAACAACCCATAAACGGGCCCATTAACCCACAAAATTGCAATAAAGAACATGTGGTCAAGTGAGCCATCAGGGACCTGTGACCCAGCAAACTCCTTAATGGGATTGTGAACCTTATCATCGGTGCTGAACATGGATAATGGGAAATTATGGCAAGGAAAGAAAGAAGGGGTGTTGGGTGATGGGCACCCAGGTTTCAATGAGTAAAATGTTGTGGAATGGACATGTCGTGGGATGGAATATCAGGGTAACACTTTTTCATGTAATAAAACCACTTCAAAGTGACTCAAAAGAGAGAATTTTCCCATTGACTCCAGCAAATGCCTTCAGCAGCTCAGGAACCTGTGCTGTCCCTTCTCTTACAGCCTCTTCCATGTACCAGCCACTTCTGTGCTCCACGTTGCTTTTTGAAGCAATAGGATGGGCATTTACTTGTGTTCTATCTGTGATGTTTGAATTCTGTTTGAGTATAAAAGTTTATTGGGGGTCATTAGTGCAGTTTGAGCAGGAGGACGATGGAACACGCGTGATACAGGTGCTCTACCATCTCATTCACCCCCCCTGCCTTGGGCAGGGACACCTTCCACTAGCCCAGGTTGCTCCAAGCCCCGCCCAGCCTGACCTTGGACACTTCCAGGGATGGGGCAGCCACAACTTCTCTGAGCAACTCTGCCAGGCCCTCACCACCTCACAGGGAAGAATTTCTTCCCAATATCCCATCTAACCCTGCCTTCTGGCAGTGGGAAACCATTCCCCCTTGTCCTGTCACTCCAGGCCCTCGTCAGAAGTCCCTCTCCAACCCTTCTGGAGCCTGCAGGAAGATGAATGCCTCGTGATGGGAAGGCTGCTGTAGCAGTGGGACAGGGTACTTGGGTGCCCAGGGAATTCCAAGGGCATTTATGATCACAAATATACTTTCAATCAAAAAGAAATCTATATTATCTATGTTGCCCTAACTGATAAAGAAAGGAATTTGCATCAACCTTTGCTGAATAATTTAGGAAGAAAGCTATGAAAGTTTATTTAAGGAAAAAGCAAAGGAGGAAAGGGCATGTTTGTTACTGGTTCCTTTTTTCCCATTGCAAATTGAGATTCTGTTTACCCTGGAAAAATCAATGTGGTTGGACACCTGGTGTAATTAATTATTTTGCAAGAGACAGCTAGCTGATCTTTTGAAAAGAAAGGGGTTTTTAAGCAGGACTGTTCAAAGTTCATAGTCTGCTGTGTATCTCTAATGCTGATAAACATCCAGCAGAAAGGATGCCTGTCTTAAAATTTCCCATGGCCACACCTTCGTTTTAAGGTGATACCCTCAGAAAAAGGCTGTAGAGCCCAAGGAGCCCTCCAGCAAGGTGACTCCAGCGGCGTGGGCTCTGGTTGCCTTTGGGAGATGCCCTTAGGCCTTGGGAAGTGGACAGCAATGCTCGTGGGTTTGAATTTTGAATCACACATGGTTCTTAACCACGAAGGGGTTTCTGCTCCTTTTTCTTGAGCTCTTAATGCAAATAGACTTTGCTTGTGCTGTATGTTAAACTTTTCCCTAAGCGGGCAGTCTTTTCCAACTGGGACCAGTTGTTTCTTTTCAGTGCACTGGTGCCTGACTAAATGGCATTGGGTCGCATTCTTCATGTATAGATGAGACAACCCTCCTGTTAAATATTCCTGTGTTTTCCAGCGGTGGGCTGGGGAAGTTCCTGCCTGCCTTGCAGGCCAATGGCAACCCAAACCTGACTGCCAGGGAGGGAGGGGAGAGCCAGCAATGGGATGCTGTGCCAGCACGCCTCAAGTTGGTTTGGCCGGAACTGGTTTTAGGTCATATAAAAAAGTGGGTGAAGGCTCTGGGCTGCTCAGAGAGCAGCAGGTCCTCAGGCAGCGCCGTAGAGCACATTGGTTTTGAGCTCCTTAGCGCTTTTTTTTACAAGGGCTACAAATTGCTGTAACATAGTTAAGGTCTGTAGGAAGGGACAAGTTTTCCTGAACTTTACTCCCAGCTTGAACTTGTCAGAAGTTCAGTGAGAGGCAAGGAAGGGGAGAGAGAGAGAGAGAGATAGAGGCTCCCTCGCTCTCGCCCCTGCGTCCGCAGCGACGAGGATGTCAGATGGCAAAGGCAGCCTGGACAAACAGCTGAACGGCCTTGGGGAGCAGGGGAAGGAGAGGAGCCGCCTGTCCCTGGTCATCTCCCAGGCCCTTAACCGCAGTATTTTCACCTCTGCAGTCTCCCCCGCTGCTGAACGCATCCGCTTCATCCTCGGAGAGGAAGATGACAGCCCAGCGCCCCCGCAGCTCTTCACCGAGCTGGATGAACTCCTGGCCGTCGACGGACAGGAGATGGAATGGAAGGAGACTGCAAGGTGGGTTGGTTTTCCTTCACCCTGGATGGCGAGGGCAGCCAGCAGGACTCCCGTGGCAAATTCCTTTTTTTAGCATTGCATTGGGTAATACCTGTGCTGCAGGACCATGAGGGGTAGCCACAGAAAGGAGCCTGCATGGTTCAAATTACCTTTCTTTGATAAACAAGAGAACTGAGGGTTTGTTTAAATGTTCCTTTAAAACAAAAACTAGGAAAAAAACGGAGTGCCAGTTTGATTGGAGTAGATTGCCTGTGGAGAGACAACACTGGGCTTTGCACAGGGGGACATGTCTTCTGGCCAGAGTTGCCAGAAGTGAGTGCCTGAGTCAAAACTGCTTCAGCTCTATTGCCTCAAAGTAGCTCTTGAGCCCGGTCCCACTGCACACCACAAGCAGGGAAATTTTGGCTGTCACTCTCCTTCCTAATGGTGGGATTAATTTCAAATAGGAAAAGAAACTTTAAGGTTTTGCTTGTGAAGAAGTTATTCAAGGTGTGTGTTAAATGCTAGATTGGGTTGCCTGCTTTGAGTTCCTTGGTTCTGTTCTTTGATGCTGCTGTTTTTTTGGTCAAAAAACCATAAAAAAAAAAAAAGGGAGTGTTTTGGATCTGGTTGCCACAACTTACATGGAGTTTATTTCCAAATACCACTGAAAGAGGCATTGGATTGGTGACCTATTCCCACTCACCTTCAGTGAGCTTGGGGCTTTTCCTTTTCCTTTATGGTGTCTGGGCTAAGCTCTTTCCCTGCCTCCCACTGTTAAGGGCACCATCCTTGTTCATGGTTAGCCCATGTTTGGTTACCTTAATCTTTTTTACCTGCAGTTTAATGAGCCACTCCACCACATACCCATTTACCCCCTTATCCTTCATTTATACTTCTCAGTCACTTGGGGAACCTATTTAACAGCTTCTCACCTTTTGCTCTTTAACTTCTGACTTGTTGCTCATCCTTTTCTCCCTGTATTGCTTTTCTTCCCTCTTGTCATTAGTTCAGTACTTTCTGGGTTTGGGTGTTTTCACGGTTCTTTGGTAGAAGGGCTGCATGGAGCTGTGTGTGGGATTCTCTCTCAGGCTCTTCTCCCTAGTAACAAGTCATAGAATGAGAGGAAATGGCCTCAAGTTGTGCTTAGGGAGGTTTAGCATGGATGCTGGGAGAAATTTCTTCACCCAAAGGGTTGTCTGCCCAGGATAGTGGTGGAATCCCCATCCCTGGAGGGATTTAACGGGCACAAACCACCCTCTTGTGCCCCTTGGGCCCTGGAAACTGCACCGACAGCCCCAGCAAGGCTCCTCTGGCACTGGGCACTTCAGAACTAGGTACCTGTCAACACCAGTGGCTCCAAGGGGCTGAGATTTGCAAGAAAAATCTGTCCCCAGTGCACTTGGTGGGCTCCAGGATGATACCCCGTGCCCGGGAGCCATCGGCACGGTCCATGTGCTCTGGAGGCAGCTCGTATCTCTGCCAACCAGGATGCAGAAGGCATCTTTCATTTTGTATTTTTAGAGCTGCAGAATGGGTTGTGTGAATGGTGTGTTGATATTATCATGTGTAAAAGGGTGAAGGATATAAATGTACTGCCTGGCAGAGCTTACATAATTAAAAAAGGCCATAATAGAAGTTTAAAAAAAATGTCCACCACCCCACAGTCCTGTCATTGCCTTTTCTCTGTAATTCTATCACCTTCCTGCCATCTCCCTGTCTTGTAGAACAACGATCCCCACCCTACAGTGGCATCTTGGTCCCCAGAAGGTCCCACTGAGCCTCAGAACAGGCTGGGGGCCTCCAGCTGCTGCAGGTTTTTTCCGTTTCCTACTTTGCTTTGTATCCTGTGACTCCTCCTGGAATGCAGGCATTCCCAAGCTAGCGCAACCTGGTTAGTGGAAGGTGTCCCTGCCCATGGCAGGGGGTCGGAACTAGAAGAGCTTTGAGGTCCCTTCCAAGCCAAACCATCCTGTAATTCCTTGAATAGAGCAGGCATTAGTTCACCCAGGTTTGCAAGCTAATATTTGTTTTATTGTGTTGGTATTGTGGATTTCAGTGAGAAAAGTAAACAGAAAGCAAATATTGATAGTTGTGAGTAATCGCTTTCCCTGGAAGGACAAACAATTGGTAATTTGCAGCCTTCCTGCTGTTACAGGGTAAATATGTCTCAGTCCCACATCCCACAGAGCCCTGGAAATGCACAGATTTGCATCCCCCCAGGTCCCAAAGGTGTCCTAGGAAACACCTATTTTTTGTGAACTAGAAGAACTTTATTAATTGGAGATGAAAATCAATCTTTTAGCTTGAGTTAAAAAGCAGCTTTAAAAAAACCAAAGTCTCAAAAAGAGATTATTGCAATTGTAAAGCATAATTGATTAATCCCCAAGTAATACATTTTTCAGGATTAAATACAATTTACTTGCTGTTAATAATATTCTTTTGAAACCATTTATGAGCTTCCTTACCTTTACCTTTTTGTGTGGGTTTTGTCTTAGTAATCCCCTTATATTAGTCACTGGAATTTTCATTTTCCACATATATTAAAATGTGTCTGAAGAGGGGATTAAAAAGCACTTCTGCTTTTGCCATCAGGGGATATTGAAACACCTTCTCCTGTGCCCCCAGTTTACATCAAAGCCATTTCTGGGTGCTGTGGTAAAGGAAAAAGGTCTGGACCAGGTCCCAGCTGCCCATCCCTGCAGACTCCAGGCTGGGCACAGCAGAGCCAAGGGCAGGGTCAAGGCTGGAGGGGAGGTGGGGGTGGGCTGCAGCCTGGGGAGTTGGACTTGGTTTTAGGGGTGTAAGGTGTGTTTTGCTCAGACCAGGATTTAACCTTTGCTCTCACCTTCCACCAGAGATAAGCTTTCTGGGTTTTTCAGTCCTACTTGGTTAAATCATTAAACAGTGGCTGGAGGGAAAGAACGAACCCCTCAATTTGTGTCTTGTCCTTTGGTGGCTCACTTATTCTCTAAGAATACCTTCAGGTGTGGTTGGGATGTGCTCCTCTCCATGGTACAGCAGTATTCCATGCTGCAGAGTTCTGGCAGTGGCTGATTTCTGAATCCTTTAGGTTGGAAAAGCCCTCTAAGACAATCGAGTCCAGCCATTAACCAGCACTGCCAAGATACTCAAGGACAAGCCACCTTATTTCCAGAAATGCTGATGTATTTCCCTGCGAGGAGCCAGCAGCTTTAACCCAGTCCTGTTGCTCTGCCCTCTGTAGGTGGATCAAGTTTGAGGAGAAGGTGGAACAAGGTGGGGAGCGATGGAGCAAACCGCATGTGGCCACCTTGTCCCTGCACAGCTTGTTCGAGCTGAGGACGTGTATAGAGAAGGGCTCCATAATGCTGGACATGGAGGCCTCTTCCCTCCCGCAGGTGGTGGGTAAGTACACCTGCCTTGTCTCTTTCCCTTGGCCCTTCCCCACCAATTTTTTTAACCCTGATATGGTTTTATGTGTGGTTTTAATGTAAAAGCGCTGCTTTTTCAATAAAAGAGGAAAAGAAAGAATCCTCCAAGGAATAAGAGGGAAAACTAGAAAGCCCTAGGCTGTGTTTAGGATGGGGCACTCTCCCCTAGCAAGGGAGAGGGGAGAGCAGCCCCAGCACTAGCTGGAACTCCACCCCATGGAATTGGAGGGCAGGTTTCTTGCAGTCAAAATAGCTGTGGCCTGGGATGACGCTCAGTGACATTGCTGAGAGCCAGATCATGCTCCCCATGGCACGTGAGAACTCATAGAAAATAAACTTTCAAAGTGAGCCATCCAGTGGAGGGACCAAACCAAAATGCTGAGTTTAAAAGCCATTATGTGAGGAGGTGTAGAAGAGCTAAATGAAATATCTGCCTCCCCCCTCCCCCCCAAAAAAACCCAACTCAGTGCTTTGAATTATCTTCTCAGGAAGCAAGGTCAAAATTATCCTGGCATGGAATTGTCAAATACAAGGAGTTGCACTGGTTTGTAAGACCTGGAATTACAAAAGCTGCCTCTGGTGTTAAGTGCAGAGTTTTGAGCTTAGTTTTGTAAGTGCTTTGTCTTCCTTTGCTTTTGTGTCTGTGTATCCAAATGCACAGCTTTGGAAAGTTTAGCAAAATAAACCCCCCAAAACCTCTGAACTTTTAGGCTGAAGCTGAACCTGCTTCAGAAGCAGTAGCTGATGTCCGTGGTCTGGAACCTTAAACCCTCAGACATTAGATTTCCTTTTGAAGTCCCTTTGAGATGTCACCTTCAATCTCCTGCTTCAATTTCCAAATTAAATCTAATTCCTGGGAGATTAAATTACACATCAGTGATTGCTGTTGCTGTGACACTCTGACACCGTCCTGAGCAGGGTATTTTTGCCCCAGACCCTTAATAAGACAGGTAGGGATGTCCAGGACTGGATTTCCAGGATGATTTAATCACGATCACTTGGCTGGTGTCTGGTAGTGACACGTAGGAAAGGAAAACTCCAAAGAAAATCTCTTTGTTGTTTGTGCTATGTCAAGAAGAGGGAAGGGAAGATGCCAGATAGAGAAGGATAAACTTAATGAAGGTTCTGAAGAAAATATTCCAAAAATCACTAACCAAAGCCATGAACAAGAAAAGCTATAGCAAAATGACACTTTACAAAAATCAACCTTTTCCTGAACATTTTGTGTAAAGGTACCTATGTGCACGTACCCGCCCTGTCCTAATTTGGGAGGAACAACTAGTCTCTTCCCTAGGCATTTGGAGAGGCACTAATTCTTGGGCAGCACGCAGAGGATGACTTTCTGACTCAGTGAGTTAGCAAATGTGATGTATGTCCTGCCTCCCCCTTCCCATAACTTTTATTATTAGCACAAATAAAAGTTACCAGCAGACAAATAAGAGCTGCCACTTGCCCTCGGGGGACAGCGCGTGAATTCAAGTCATCAAGGAATGACTTCGTGTGAGATTTAATGCACAGTGGAGATCCTTCATACATCTGGTGACCTTTTTGCCTTTTTCCTCTGGGATAGGGCAGCAGAAAGGAGGGAATTGGTGGGAAGTGAGCAGACTTCGAGGGGCTTGGGAGCCTTTTCTGCTGGTGATTCTGTGAAAGACAAAGCCATGTAACTCATCCTGTGGCAATTAGAGCAAGTTCTGCCGCTTGTAGTTGCCATCACTTCAGTCCTGCAAGGGAATGATTTAATTAGTTGCTCATCTCCAGCATTTTTTCCTGTCCTGAGATTAGGTTTTATTGGGGGCCTGTGAGGTGAACTCAGGCCTTGTTGAATCTGATAGAAGTTTTTCCATGTGATTTTTGAGCTGATTCCCTTCCTGAACTAAGAACCAGCTGACCCTGGGTACAGGTGATTTGAAATAGGATTTGTGGCATGTAGGAAATAGCAAAGGGAGTCTCAGTGCAATACATGTGTGTTGGTGGCTCACGCTGGATGGAAATGCTTGTGTTACTTTTCCAAAGAAGTGTCTAAAAAAGACTCCCAGAAAAATAAAACCTGGTTTTGAGATGGGGAGCAAAGCCCTCAAAAAGGTGGGGTGAAAACGATCCTTCCCTCTCTCCCTGCTCTCCCTGGAAGCAGCTGAGTTTTGAGCTCTGTGGTTAATTTTGCCCTCCTCTCCCCTGCCCTTCCTGTGCCTGCCACAGAGATGATCGTTGACAATCAGATCGAGACGGGGCTGTTGAAACCTGAACTGAAGGACAAGGTCACCTACACGCTGCTCAGGAAGCACCGGCACCAGACCAAGAAATCCAACCTGCGCTCGCTGGCTGACATTGGAAAGACCGTCTCCAGTGCAAGTAGGATGTTTTCCAACCCCGATAATGGTAATGCAGAGGCTAAGTGGCTATAGCCTTCCCTGTCACGGCAACCCACCCAGCCCAGCCCAGAACTAACTGCGTGGCCCTGACGATGCTTCTCTAACCCTGAGTAGCGTAGTGAGACCCGTGCTGATGGCACATCAGCAGTGGGCTCTGGAGGCTGCTTTGGCCCTGGCACGGCATTCTAACCACATCTTCACTGGACTGAGAGGGACAGGAGGGCAGGAGGCAGCAGCTGGGGAAGGCAGAGAGATGCCCTTCCAGCTGCGTGTAGGAGATGATGTAGGAGCAGTGACAAGAAAGAGGGATTTACAAAAAACTCTGATGGGGACTGGACCTGAAAGGCCGATCACCTGAAATATTTGGGCAGAGATGAAACTGTAACAGACGGTGTCGGTGGCACTCCGAATCAAAAATGAGCTGGCAGTAACATCTAGCTTGCATTTTATTGCTGTACAATCATTGTCCAGTGGGGTAAAGCTGATTTCCATCTTGCTTTATTCGTCCTGAAATGGTTTTGTGGTGTGTGTCGTGACTATGTCTCTTTTTGTCTCTAAAAAGGGTGTAATAGGTAGTGCCTTGTTGGTAGTGGTGTCCCTAAATGAGTGTGTGTGTGTGTGTGTGTGTGGATGCAGACAGCTACAGAGGCCTGGGCACTGCCCCTGCATGGAGATTTGGGGTCTTATTACTCATGGTAATGAAAAAAGAGGAATTTTGAGCCTCTCAACTGTCTCCTGTGGCAGTCTGGAAATTGGGCTAAATGTTACCATTTTAAAATACCCAGGAATAAAGGCAAGTGAAGAAATTCTTTTCTTCTTGCTCCACCAAAGGCCTCTGAGCTTGCTGCATTCTGCTGCTACAACTCACCCTAACACCTCTCCCTAACCTATTATCACACTTCATTAATATTTCCTACTTTGGATCATCCTTTCCTTTTGCAACAGGAGTGTATGTGCCTGTGGAGAATATTTATTGCTCTTGATGATGCCTCTTGTCATGTATGAGTGCCTTGATAACGCAGTGATTGAGCGAATAACCTGAACATGCAATAATGTGAACCGAGGGAATGTTCTAGGTGAATATCCCTGCAGGAGGGACTGGGTTCTGGGAAGCACTGCAAGGAAATTCTGGCTCTGGGGAAGGGCTCAGCATGGCCAGATGAGCCCTCATGTTTTCACTCAGCTCTTGCTCATTTTTCATGGCTACAGGCATCCTTTACTTGGATTTTAGGTGATTTAAATTTAATTCATTTCTTATTCTTGTTTGAAAGGGCTTCGCAGGTCCTGGTTCAAGTTGGACTAATCTCCAGGAATTCTATCCTGACTCTGACCTTCAGCCACTCCTTTCATGTTGTTCTACCTCTGTTCCCCCACCTGGGATGTTTTTATATAACACATTATATTCCATGACAATTCAAGTGCTTTGATACTTTAGGAGGGCGAGACTGACATACAGAGAGAAATACCTCATGAATAGTTGTTACTGTTATTTATTATTTACACTTTAATGAAAAAGTAACTCCAGAACGTGTTTGATCAAGTTCTACCTCAGATTCAATGAGTGCCTCTCATGTCCTTTAGACAGATAAAAATTTAATGAGGCCAACAGGAGTGCAGCTGTCTCTCAACATGGCTAATCACCATAATGCACATGCCTCCAGCCCCAAGTGCTCCTAAATTTCCCTCGAGTTCTTTTCCAGGTAGGTGTTTGCTTTCACTTCAGTGTCAGTGAAGCTTCCATCCAATATTGATGCTACCTCTGGGTCTGTGGGACCCTCTGAGCATCCTCCTCCCCAGGTACAACAGCTTTATGGGCTGGTGTTGCTGCTGCCCGGCTCAGCAGGGACACCTTCCACCAGACCAGGCTGCTCCAAACCTGTCCAGCCTGGCCTTGGACACTTCCAGGGATGGGATCTGTTTGTTAGATCTGAAATCTGGAAATATCCCCTGGGCCATGGCTTTCGAAGATCCCGAGGTGCCTGTACCTCACTTAGTTCAGAGCACCTAAAGGACTGAAGTCTCAGGGGCTCCAAAATGTTCTTATTTACACATGTTGATTGTTCATGCTGATGGAACTCCTGCAGGGATTTTTGACAGGTGCATGTCTGGTTTTGTTGAGTGGCTTTGTACAAGTTCTTTGTGTCCCTTCCTGGCACAGCCCTTGTCCTGGAGCAGTACTTAACACCTGGGCTGGAGCTCTCCAGCTGGCACACCTTGGGCTTTGCCATGGTATAACATGGGCTGTGTGGTCACCGTCCCTTCTGCAGGTGCCCGAGGTCTGCCTGATCAATATTTACCAGCCTTCTGTGATGACATTTGCTATCCATTTTTGACATTTTTCTTCCAGAGCTTCGTGCATGCCAGCATTTTGTATAATTTAACACCTGTGGGAGCCTTTGGCAAGCGAGAAAACGATCCACTCCCACTAAACCCAAGCTGGCAGAGGCTGTAGAAAACTGTGATGTGTTTAAGTGTGCGTGTTTAACCACCATAAATAATGACACGGTCCCATTGCCGCGTGGGTGCTGCCTGTGCTGCCCAAACTCCTCCTGAGCCGTGTTAGTTCACACTGTGCTGACAGAGGGGTTTGGAAACACTTGACTTGAAATAACAGGCTGTCTGCACAGTGCTGGCTGATGCACAGAGAGGAGAGTACCTGGCTACAGGTGAAAACTTCTCTGAAGTCTGGATTCTGTGTATTCCACTATCCCAGGTTGCTCCAAGCCGTGTCCAACCTGAACTTGGACACTTCCAGGGATGGGGCAGCCACAGCTCCTCTGGGTTCAGCTTTAGTCAGTTCAGTGATGGGGTTTTTTTTCACATGAACTGCACCCTCAGTCCCTTTAGAGAGTTAACAATGGCACTAGCTGAATAATATCAGCACAGAGGAGAGGAGTTGAAGTCAGAAATGAGATGTTTTCCAAGGAATGCTTGGAAAACCCCTACCGGTGTATGTATTGATATGACTGGAAGCATTGCAGACTAAGGTGGGCATCTCCAAGCCCGGATTGGTGTGCCTGGTATGTATGCATGGGGTCAGGGTGCTCAAAGTTGGCTCCTACAGGGACATGATCTGATTTTTGTTGTCAAAAACCTGTTGTTACTGATGGTGCTGCATCCTGGGATGCTCAGCACCACCAGCTCTGCAGCTGCTCACTCGCTTCCTTGAGATCTGCTTCTGAGATGCCTCAATTTTAGACACCACAGATGCAAAGCTGGCTCCAGCCCAGCCAAGATGGAGCTGCGGAGGAGATGTTGGGATGTAAATGAGTGGGCTTTGATCACTGCAGTGTGCGCATCAAACTCTCTCCTTGCCTGGCTTCCCCTCTGCTGCTGCTCCAGCCTTTCTTCCTCGCATAATTTCATTTTCTTTTCTTTTAACTTTTCCCCTTTGCTCTCTTCCTGCTCTTTGCTGCTGCTCCTGTCTCCTGCTTGCCGGGCACAAGCACGCAGCCCGCTCGAGAGCTCCGTGCCCTGCCTGGCCACCCGCACCTTGGATGATGAACTGGGAGTGCAGCGCAGCCCCAGCGTGGGATGGCTCAGTAAGTCCCGGGCAGGGCTCAGGGCGGGCTCAGGGCTGGGGGCCAGGAGAGGAAGAGGGAACTTACCCCAGCCGGGCTCCTAACGCTTGCTGCCAAGCTGCACTAACCGTGGGAAGAGCATGGATGTGTTCCGTGGGGAATGGGGCTGCTCCAGCTGTTTGTGTTATCCCCACTGTCCTCTCCACTGCTCTGTTTTGCTCTATTTTCCTTTTTTCTTTCATCTGGAATGAAGCAGGTGGGTCAGGCCACCCTGCCCTTCCAAGGGGGGTCTAAGCTCTCCGGTGGCACTTTTTTCATCTAGAGAAGTATTCTTTGGCAGTTAGAGGGGTTTGAATATTTTAACTTCTGTATAAATTAACCTCAAAAATAGGCTGTCGGCTTGATCTCTCGGGGATGAGCTGGACTGTTCTGCCTTTTGTAACATCTGATTTATCTAATTGTGCTTGGCTTCAGCTGTGCCAATGTGCCAATGTTCCTGGATGTGGCAGGAACACACAGCAGGTATAGTGTGGTTCCAGGTGGCTCACAAGAAGGAATACTTTCAGTCTACCCATGTGTTGTAAAGAAAACCCAGCTCTGGGGAGTCCAGAACTTTTTCTTCCCACTCCTTTGGTTTTTCACTCCGGGTGCTGCTTTATTATTGAGTTTGTTTGTGCTTGGAGCTGATGAGCACTGAGAACTTGGACATTCCTTTTAGTGTGAATATTAAGTCAGTGTTGTCTCAAAACATATTTTTTTGTTGTTTGTTTGTGTTTTGGTGGATTTGGTTTTTTTTTTATTTATTTATTCTGCTGTGTCTCTGGGGATTGTCTTTGCCTCCCTTTCGAATTTGGTGTCAGGAATTGGTGACTTTTGTCCTGTCAGTGTGGTGCACACGTTGTTCTAATCAGTGCATTGCTTAAGGTTCATGAGCTTAGTTAATGGGCTCACTGGAGCGAGGGAGATGTTTATTAGGGGCTGTTGTGAAGGACCAGGAGCTGCCACTCTCCCTCTCTGTGTGAGCTGTGTACAGTGTCTGGGATGCTAAGGAGGGCAGGTGTCATCCACGTAGAAGAACTGAGGTGTGGGATTTGCACCCTTGGAAGGTCCCAGCCCTGTAGGGATGTATTTGTGGTGGGTCCTGGGTGACCCAGCACCATCAGTGTCAGCAGCCTGGTGCTGCTTTGCTTTTTGTCCCACAGGCAGGAGTTATGGTAGGTCATTGGACTCTTTTACTGTCCTGGGAGTCACAGGAACGCTGTGAGTCGGAGATGACGGAGCATTAGCATCTTAAATCTCCCATGTGCCACATCAAGGGACAGAAAGCAGCCTGTCAGGGTCTGGAATTCCCCCCATCAGCCTCCCAAGGAAAGGTGTTGCTGTAGCCTGAGCCTCTGTGTTCTGACCAGATCCAAACAGGTGCTTTAACTTGTGTTGGCCTTGTTCCTACAGGCAGCCCAGCCATGGCTCACCGAAACCTGACTTCCACCAGCCTGAACGACATCTCAGACAAGCCTGAGAAGGACCAGGTAAGCTCCAGGTCCAGCCTTCACTTGAGGATGTGTGTGGAGAGGAGCTGGGTGTTGGGGAAAGGGCTCTCTGTACCTTAGCACAGAAAAAGAAGAGGGTGAACAAGCGGTTTTGAGCCCTCTGACTGGGTCCTTCACTTTTTAAGCACCAGCCTTGAAAACAGCAGGTTAAACTCTCACAAGGTCTGAAGCAAGTGACACCACATACACTACCTCTTGCTGATAGCCATGAGAAAGGAGGGAAAATACCCAGGGACTGATGGAGTTTTGATCCTTTTCCTGCTGAAGGATTACAAGAGTCCTGCAGCACCCCAGGATGAGTGTTCACAGGGACTATGGGAGCACGCAGGGGGCATGCGTCCCTGCTACAGCAGCTGGGGGAACAGGGAAGGTGACTGTGCTGACAGGTAACATGGAAGAGCAGCTCCAAAGTGGAGTAATGAAGTTAAAATTGGCCTTTAGTACCGAGTCTCCATGGATCTGACCCCTTTCTTAGACTAGGGTAATGTTTGTGCTGTGGCGTACGGGCTGTCTTTGTGTGTGCTTCCGTCCTTTCCGAAGGCTGCCGGCTCTGAGGGGTAAGAGTGAGTTTATTCCAACTCTTAGAAAACTGGTGGCTGAATGAGGTCTCTGTGCAAGTTTCAAAAAACCTTTTGTCTGGGTTCAAAAAGTGGGTTATTCTCAAAGCCCGGCTGTTTCTTTCGGAGAATCCCTTTTTTTGCCCACGTCTTTCAGCATTCCCTAGTCCCATGGTGATTCTGAATGCAAATGAGAGTCCCTTTGGAAAATTATTTGGGTAACACAGCATTGCTGGCCAGTTGAGGATGACTCCAGTCCTTCAACAATGGCTGGTCACAACTGTCTGTAGGTACAACCTTAAAGGGACACAGCAACATAATCAAGGTAGAAAAGTGAGGTCAGAGTGATTAAATATTTTAAAAATAAATAGATATTCGCATAAATAAATATACTTTCATGGAAAGAGAAGGGGGGCAGCGTGTTTTGCACTGACCTCAGTGTTGTAGCCTCATCTGTACTGGCTGAGTTTCTAAAATACCCGTTTCCTTTAAATTCACATAGCCACACCTGGGGAAAGAGGAAGATTGTAAAACAGCTTTTTGTTGTTGGACAAACTGCTGGTTTATATTTTTAATCCCATTATAACTGGGGTTTTATAGCTAGACCAACCCAAAGCTGGGGCTGAACATTGCAGCAGCTTCACAGCTCTCAGCAGTGCAGACAGGCCTCATTGCCCCTCCTGCTCCAGTGTCTCTGGGCATACAGATAATGGACTTCTTGTGGAGAACTGGGTATAAAAATAGATGTTTTGGTAACACTAATAGGGAAATCTGTTAATAAATCCAGTTTGGGAGCACGCCCCAAGGTTTTTAACTTCCAATGTAGATAATGCCTGGCTGTTGGTCGTGAGAACCATTACTTGATAAGTGTCAAGTTCCAAAAAGCCTCTCAGTTAATTAGCCCGTGTCCTGCTGATGAACTTTGCACAGTGGGAGCCATGTCCCCTACGCCTTGAGAAATCACCTTAGAGATCAGTTTTTGTTGCTGACTGACTCAGACTCCTGCCTTGATAAAGTTTGTGGCATTGTGGTGATGCCTGGCAACTCCCTTGAGCAGAACTCAGCGTGCCGTACAGGGGGCACAGCAATAATCCATCATGTTTCCACAACAGGAGCTGGAAAGGGAACAGGTTTTCTTGCTTTGGCAGCAGAGCGACTGGCTTTTGTTATTTGGGCATCCCATCTGGGAACTGGACAGTTAGTGAGGCCATACAGGGAGGTGGGAGTCTGCTGGAGACACAGAATATTCCAATTTTTATTTATTCATGTGTATAAGAACTGCAACCGGTGAGGTCAGTTTACAGCAGTTGCCTGGAGCAGGACTGCCTTCCTACATCCTTAATCAATCCCTGGTTTTGCAGAGACAGAGGATTGTGTCCCCATGCTTTAAAGGAAGAAAGGCTTTGAGCTAACTTATCTGTACCTTTGGTAACTTTCCTGACTTCCTACATCCTTAATTTTAAGTTTTGCAACCTTTAATGCTATTTGGAATGGTGCAATTAACAGTATAGGTATTTTGTAGCCAGAATATTCCTTTAATCTGTGGCTTCCCTGCTCCTTTCCTCTGGATATGTTGTAAGGTTCAGGTTTCACATGGGCTCGTGCCCCTTGGACAGTTGCCTGTCAGAGATCTGATCTGTCAGAGAATCCTCCCGGACTCATCCCTCCCACTGCTCTCCCAGCAGTGCCAGGCAGCTCTGCCTGGCTCAGGGGTGTTATTTATGAATACTGAATCATGTAGTTTGCATCAGCCGGCTCTCTCCACCATGGGAATGATGACTTGATCCTTTGGGATTGCAAAGAGGCTGGCTCAGCATCCCCAGTGTCCTGCAGGAGCCGGCAGGGCCCTGACTCAAACCGCTCTGATGAGAAAGAGCTTCAGTAGCGGCCCACGGATTTGGGGGTTGCTGTTTTGTCATGTCTTTGCTTTGGGCTTGTTTGGAGTTTTATAAAGATAATTAGGGAAGAGGAGCTGTATTCCCTTTCATTGTGTTTGTGTTGGCAGAGCCTGCTCCTGAGGTTGCAGCACGGAGAAGGGATTTGCCTCCATTTGTTTTATTTTAGGAGATGTTGGCTGCAGGTAATGGCCTGGGCATTCGCAGCTGGAGCGACAAGTAGTGTCACTTTGGGACAATTTATTCTTCTCTTCTGTTTTCCAATTAATACATGAGCATCTAGGCTTCTTGCTCTCTCCTGGACTCCCAGCTCTCTACTGCCAGATGCATCAGTGGTGTCAGTGCCGTGTCCATAAAACCAGGACTTCTCACGGCAGTAGAATTCCTGTGGCTCTTGAAGGTCAAGCTCTTGGATCAAGTTTTTCTTTAACTCTGTATTCACAGAATCCCAGGCTGGTTTGAGTTGGAAGGGACCTTAAAGATCATCTTGTTCCGCAACCCTTCCGTGGGCAGGGACACATTCCATTATCCCAGGTTGCTCCAAGCCCCATCCAGCCTGGCCTTGGACGCTTCCAAGGATGGGGCAGTCACAGCTTAGTAATTCAAAAACATTTAAAACTCTTTTTTTTCAGCTTATATGTGAAGCAAAGGGGTTGAAAGGAGTCCTCTGGTGCCATGGTGCCAGCAGACCATAGGAGGCTGGGGAAGTTCCTACTGCTGTTCCCACTCCGGTCCCTCCTCCCGTGAGAAATCCTTTGGCTGTGCTCTATTAGAATGTCCTTGGCACCTCTGAGTGGCTGAACCACCAGGACTTCTCCAGTGCTCAACATGTAAAATGAAGGAACATGAAAGAAAATCTGTTTTCCCAGGGACCTGCTATTCCTGAGCTGATGCAACAGCATATAGAAAGGGAATGTATGTTGATAGAAGGGGAGTTTCCTGACATGGCGTTATCTCCGCTTCCCAAGGGCTTGGAAGTGGGACAAACCTGGCTCTGAATGAATGTGGTCAGTGAGAGGGAGGCACAAAACCCTCCCTATTTGTTGTGGTGTGGGCACTGTGTATTCAAACCGGTGTTTCCATATCAACAGGGGATCTGTGCCAAAGCCAGCACTGCAGTTAAAAAAGAAATTGACCTTGTTGAGAGAAACTCTCCTGCCTTTCCCGGGGACCAGTAGATGGGGAGGGCACTGGCAGGATCCCACTCTTGGGAATGCAGTCCAGTGATTGATAGTGGGAGCCATTCGCTGCTTTTCCTGTTTGAACATCTCCTCACCTCCACAGTTGCAAGCAGACATTCCCAATTTTGAGGTCTGTCAGCCTGGGTGACCTACTTTCACTCTGGAGCTCCAATGGAAATTACTGTTTTCCAGTACAGACCACTACCACCTTTCTGGAGAGAAGGAAGAATTCCTAGGAACTTTAGTTAGCTGGGATTTCCTTTAGTTTGGGCGTTTTTCATGATGCAGAGAGCAGTTTTGCTTGCCTGGTTTCTCCCCATATCCACAGTGCACTGCTAAAGTATCCCTGGGTGATGGAGCAGCCTGGAAGGTACCCCTTGAGGCAGGTGTTCATGGAATAAGTTATGGGAAAGACTGTAAGCTATATGTGAGCAGGTACAAAAAGCAGAGAGACAGAGGCAGGTTCAAATTCTTGGGGGAATTAACCTTCCTTAAGTGCTACTTAGGAGTGTGTACTTAGGAGCTGCTTTCATTTCCTATCGATCCGAAGTGATGATGATTGGAGTGTACATTTAAGGAAATTGGAATTTTCAGGTTACTGTGCCTTTTTGCAACTACAGTGCTGGGGACCTGCAGCCTTCAACATTAGTGGTCAGGTTGGAAGGATGCTCAATTTGGCAGAGTGCAGGGGAAGGTGAAGCTCCCTGCTCCCGGGTGCTGGTGAGGACTTAAATCTTTCCAAAGCTGCTTGGGAGGACGGTTCAAATGGATTTTAAGTGCTGACTGCACCCTTCCCATCACCTGTCTGATAAATGTTTTAAGAAAGTGGTGAGTGGTGCTGCAAAACTCATGTGGAGCTAAAAACCCCCACTATAATAGCAGCTCTTTGAAATTAGTCACGGTGGTTTGCTGTGCTGGGCAAGGGGAGACTGAAGGGGCTGGAGCCTTTGGCATTGGGAGCTGGGCAGTCACAGGAGTGGAGACTCTGCAGGTCACTTCTGGCTAGAAAATCACCTGGCTTTGGGCCATGTGTTCAAACCAGGCCTGGTGTTGCAGAACCATCCTTGTTCAGCAACATGGCCAAGTGGATTTGCCACCTTCCCATTGTTTTTTTAATCACCACTATCCTCCCAAACACCGTCTATGAAAGAACTGGTAGCACTTTTCCAGGCTTCCTCCACAGAGCTCCTTGATGCTTATTTACTATTTCCTCTGGTGGTGATCCTGACTGAAGCATGCAGGGGTAGGATGGTTCCAGCAGTTTCTTCCTGCTTAATCAATTGATGCCTTTTCCTGAGACTTTTTCCTTTTTTCTCCTTCCTTGAGTTGCCTGGCGCAGCTCATTAGGGATTCATAGCCCAGTTCAGTCCCTGCCCCCGTAGTGTTCCTGGCAGTACATCCTCCCTCTCCATTCACCCTTCGCCAGGCACACACAGAGCATCTCCAGAGGTCACCCAGGGAGAGAGGGCGGATTGGGAACCGGCTAAGGGCAGGGTTTTCAGAAGCCTCCAACTCCGAATTAGTTCTGCCGCTGCCGAAGTTCAAACAAAGGCGTCTTGCAGAGGCTGATTTTTAAAACTCAGTGGCTGCTGCTGCAGTGTTCTCCCATTCCCTGTTGATGACATTTCTCCAGAGTTGGAATTAGCTGACCTTTGTCAGCCTGAGGATGTGTGTTGCAGAGTGCGCGCACTTCGAGTACAGAGGTGCAGAGAAGCAGTACAGAAGTACGAGAAGCACATGCCTAACACCACTCAGTTTTCTTTTCCTTCCTCTTTCACTGCTGCAGCTGAAGAACAAATTCATGAAGAAGTTGCCCCGTGATGCTGAGGCCTCCAATGTGCTGGTGGGGGAGGTGGATTTCCTGGAGAGCCCCTTCATCGCCTTCGTGCGACTGCAGCAGGCCGTCATGCTGGGAGCGCTCACCGAGGTCCCCGTGCCCACCCGGTAAGGGAACCAGCCCCCAGGGACCTGCCTCTTAAAGTAAAAAACCTCTCACAGTGAAAACACCAGGCCAGAAGGAGGTCTTCTCCACTGCTTTCCGTCCTGTGACATGGATAACGGTCAGGATTGGTGGCGTAAAGTAACAAAACTCACTGATGCTGCTTCAGAATTTTCAGGTCTTGAGTTTGGTTATAAGTAAAACATTACAGAAACTTAGCAGCTCAGGTAAAGGGCACTATCAGTGTCACATTTAACACCTGGGACTTTCTTCCTGCTCCTTCTGTACGGATCTCAGATTCCCTCTGCACATTTTTGCTGTACATATTGTTCCTCTTTGGCTCAGATCAGATGAAGGATTCGGTTCTGTCCCTGCTGAGGCAAAAATATATTCGGATCATCTGGGACATACAATTCCATTGGGGCTGGTGGCTTTGTAATGCATAATGGCTGAGGGAAAAATGTCAGATAAATGTTTTATTTATTGTGACTTGTGTTGCAAGTTAATCTGAGTCTCACAAACCGCAATGTATCTTGTGTTCTTAAATATTTGAAGTCACTGCTTGAATATGCCTGGCTGTCTGAGCTGCCCTGTGTGAATTCGTAGCAATATCACAGCCCTTGCACGGAATGGAAGTTACGGGGCTCTTGGAATCTGTGCCTTGTTTCTGTGTACCAAACAAAGGGAAAAGAGGATCTAACCTTGCCCTTTAATTGTAGTAGCAGTGTTTGTATTTCTTGGATTTTCATGAAGTGGTTTCTTACAGCCACGTCAACAACTGTTTGCACACACTGGGTATTCAGGTAGGAGTGTGGGGACACAGAAGAGGTTTCATTTTGTAGCAGGTTACTTATTCCTCAGCATTCCTGGGCTCCGTGTGCTTCACTATTTCAGCTCCCAAGTGCAGTCCCACTGACTCTATTTTTTTAAACATGCCTCCGAGTGCTTTTCCACAGATGTAAAATTAGGTATTGTTTGCTGTGGTGGTGGGAGCTGGGAAGTTGAATCCAGGATTACTGGGCAGCCTCATGACTCAATAGCATTAATCAAGGCAATATGTCCTTCCATGCCAGCATTTTTCCCAGGAAATAGTATTATCCATTTGCTGTCCTCCAAAGCGAATGCTGGCCCTAATCAAAGCAGGGAGGCTCATTAGATGGCTTTCATGAGTGATGAAGAGCCATTTGCAATGGCTGCATCCTTCGAAATTCAATCAAGGAAATCCCCTCAGGGCCCGAGGAGCTGTGATGGAGCATCTCCTCCCGTGCCCGGTTCCTGCTGTGAACCTGCACTTAAAGCCCGCAGACTCCACAGGATGCTGGAACTGGAGCCTCTGGCATGCCCACCCCTCTCTCCCGTGGGGCTTCTCTTATCTTGTTAAATTATCGATTTCCTGGTAAAGTTGTGGACACCACACCATCCAAGCTGGGCACTTTTTTTCTTCATGCTTTCTTGCAAAGCATTTTAGGTATTTCCTTTACTTAAAAGCAAACTTTTACCTAAAAGAAACCAGGAAGATCTCACAAACTCTCCAGAAAAATTATCTCCACCAGGTGTTTTCATACAGCCCTAGTAATAAAAATCAGGGATATGCAATAGGAATTGAGATATCCCAACCTTTCCTGAGCTTTCTTTTTACTGGTCAGATTGATAAAAACCTTTTAAAACCTTTGGTTTTCTCATGTTGGATTTAATCCCACAGCACTCAGGACTCCTCGTTTGGAGAAGCCCTGAGCTTGCAGCATGGCTTGGGCATGGCTGCTGCCAAGACAGCACAAGAGAAGGAGCTTTGTGTTTTCCACAGAGAAATGGGCAGTCCTGCGTTCGAGGCTGCTGGTTAATGGAATGATAATGGGGAAAACGAAGGGGAATGAGCAAGGAGGAGATGTTTTGTGGAGATAAGCTGCATAGACTTGCACAGTCTGGTGTGCAGTGCTGGGAAAGGCCTGTGTCTGCAGGTCTCAGATGAAGTGAAGTAACTTGCCCAAAGGTCACCTGGGAAGCGTGTGGCAGATCCAGCATCAGGTTCTCCTCGCAGGCCTCCTGACTGAAGCTTTTCACTGCAAAGGCACCTTTCCTAGGACTTGTCTGAGATTCCTTTAACCCTTATGGAGTTGCTGCTTTTGCTGCAGGCTGGAGGCATGGATGAGCAGGCTGGACTCGGATCTTGGTTTAGTTGCTCTTTCTCTTTTTTTTTCTTGTTTTGGGGACAAGGACAAGGGGATGGGACATGGGACGACCCTGTCTCCTGGACTGACCATAGCAGGGTGTCCACCCCCTAATGCAAGGTTACTGGGCTTGTACATCCTATTGCTGAATTAGGACAAAGAATTCGGAAAATGCCACGTACTGCTTGTTTTCCAAGAGTGTTTTAGTAGTGCAGGAGCATTCAGGTGCTGCTGCTCTGTGCTGGAAGAGATCCAGCTGGTGGAATTATTGCAGAAGACTCTTATGAAAATACCGGGAGAATGCCAAGCAGCAACTCCTGAAGTTATGAACTCTTTTTTTAAAATTCATATATTTGGCTAAGTTGCATCCTGGAGTTTGGAAAGAGTTGGCTGAGGAACAGTTTGTCTTGAATGTTGTTTTATAATAACTGGTGAAACAGGGAAAGTTCCAGGAGGTGGGAGGAGAGCAGGGGACATAACCTGGGCGTGTGTGGCTTACTCACCTCCATGTGAACCTCAAGTAAAACACTTGAACGCCTTGTGAAGAACTCGAGTAAGAAGTGTTATGTAGTAATGCCAATCAGTATGTATTTATGGATCCTGTCCTATCGCTGCCTTTTTTTTTTTCGTAGGACTCTAAATTTTTTAAATAGAAAGTCTACTTGTTTGGATATAATACTCCTTATAAGCCATTTGACTTAGTACTTCACAATATTTTGATTTAGGGAGCTAAAATAATACTTAATCCAGTGCTTGGAATGGGAGAGGTATTTCTGGTGAGGTTATTTCATCTGTGTGTTTGCACTGACAAAGGTTTCGTACCATGGTGTTTTTCCAGCTCATCAGCAGTGACTTGGATGTAGTTGCCGTGCAAAGAGATTATGTAAGAAATTAAGTGTCCAAGGCCAAGTTGGATGGGGCTTGGAGCAACCTGGATTAGTGGAAGGTGTCAGGGGTTGGAACTAGATGGCATTTAGGTGATAAGAGAAACTTTACTCACGGTATCCCGGAGTGCCCAAATAAGGAGCAATATCATCTTAGAGAAGTCCTAGAGAATTAGATAAGGGATGTAACTCAAACAAACAGGATGCAAACTAAGCTCTGTGTACCCAAGCAAGATAAAGAACAAACGTTACTGTTTTTGGTGAAACACAGTGATGCTGTGCCTGCTCAAGAACTGAGATCCAGATGACAAAGTTTAAGACCCAGAAGGACCAAAAAAGGACTTCCAATAGGGATGTGACTATGTAAAGCAAACTAATGAATATGCATTAGTAAGCAAGACTATCTAATGAATATGTAAATACTTTGTGTAATAAAGAGTCCTGTCTATCTGTCATTTGGCATGTTCGATTAGAGAAGCTGTCCTCTGAACGTCCAGCACTGAACAAAGAATGCCCTTTTTAACACCCACAAATTGGTGTTAAGAAGTTTGTTTCTGCTGCTTTTCAGTATCATAGGGTCATTTCCACCCCAAACTATTCTGTGGTTCCATGAAACAAGTCCCTGTGAAGGTGGACAGGTGTTGTGTGTTGCACAGGACAGGATGGGCCGCAGGGTGTAACCTCTGCTCTCGAGGTAGCTGGAGGCTGCTGGCAGCCTCTGCATCCCTAACAAGAACCACAACTTTTTGAAGTTGTATTTCTGTCTAGATGTTGTATAAATAACAAGCAATTTGTTTTGCCATCCTAAATGGGAACAATCTCTTGGTTTTGTCAGATTTCTCTTCATTCTGCTGGGACCGAAGGGCAAAGCAAAGTCCTACCATGAGATCGGCCGAGCCATCGCCACACTGATGTCGGATGAGGTAGGTGTCTTGGCATCTCCCATGGAAAAAGGGTTCTCCCAGGTAATGATGTCCATTTCCCCAGGCTGGTCGACATGAATGAGCATTCACGTAAAGCTGGAATATCCAGATGTCACCTCCTGATTCCATCTGTGAACATAATTATTGCCTCTGGCCTCATGGTTTTGTAAAAGCGTGACTAGAGGAGGCGTTCGTGCACCGTGTGTGTTTTCCTGCTGGCAATCACTCTTGCAAATCAACTGTGAATTAATTGTTGAATTAATTCTGTCATGGTCTGTGCCTTGTGTCCCATTCCACCATCCCAGCATCCCACAGCCACGCTTCAGGTGGTGTCATTATTTCTGTGTCACAGAATTGAAAATGAACCTGGGTTTGATAGACTTAAGTAGGTGGCTTTGTAGAAGTGTCTTCTCAAATTGAAACTCTTTATGTAGAGGAAAACTCTTTTTTTGGATAAAGAAATACATGATTGCTTTAGTAATATTTTTAAAGGTTAGAAATGTATGTTTTGCTTAAAATTAGAAACATACCTGCAAGAAAGAATCTCTGTCATTGTCGAGCTGAAGGAAGGGGCTTTTCTGAGGGTCACACCTCCTCATGCCAAATGTCCTGATACTTCTTCAGAGGTTTTTGAGAAGGAATTAAGTTGGTATTGTAGAACATAACTAGGCAGCTGCCTCTGGAGCCTGGACTACAGAAAATGCAAACCTATTCCATATGAAATCTCTCTTTTCCTTGCAGGTATTCCACGACATTGCCTATAAAGCCAAGGACCGGCAGGACCTGATTGCGGGCATCGATGAGTTTCTGGATGAAGTCATTGTGCTCCCCCCTGGGGAATGGGATCCAGCCATTAGGATAGAGCCTCCCAAGTCTCTCCCTTCTTCAGATAAGAGGTAATAGCAGGAGACAGGGTCCATGATGAAGGACAGTGGGCATCGGGTCTGAAGAGGTGATGGGAAGAGCCGGTGCTTTGGTTGCACCAGGGGTATTTATTGAGTGACCTGCAGCTGTCTGTCCATATTTAGAAAGTCCTGGAGGTATTTTCAGGTCTTCCTTAGTAGCTGGAGGGAGGATGTTCCTGCAGTTCTGTACCTTTTAAGGTGATACAGGCACATAACAATGTAGCTGTGTTCTGCTTGGTCCTTCTGACACGCCGTGTTCTTGCCCAGGAAGAACATGTACTCGGGTGGGGAGAACCTGCAGATGAACGGGGACACCCCTCACGACGGAGGGCACGGCGGCGGGGGCCACGGGGACTGCGAGGAGCTGCAGCGCACGGGCAGGTGGGTCCAAGGATTAAAAAGTCATTAAAAAGGACAAAAGGTGACAGGTACCTGTCTGCCACCGTGTCAGAGCAGTCCTGGTGTTGGTGGGGAGCTGTGAGCAGGGGAACAAGAGGCTCAACAGAAACATGTTTCAAGCTGACAGTGTCAGAGCCACGTGGAGTTTATGAGAGTTAAATGCTGTCTTGTCTGGCATCGTACAAAAAGGCATGTCTGCAAGTGAGTTCCCTTGTTCTCCAAGATTATTTCCTGTGTGTTTTTACATCCAGTTCTTTTGCTGGTTAACAATTTGAAGCATTTTTCCGTATAGCAGATTGTTTGGCTCGCCCAGCCATGGTGTCTGCCATGTGGAGAAATTTAGTCAGGGATGTAGACCAGAGTTAATCTATTTTATTACATCAACTAATATAGTTGGAGAAAAAAAACCCCAACAGACAAGCTTCCTGAACTGCAAACTGTAGTGGTCTGTTTAGCAAGACTTGTGTTCCTGAAATTTGTCTCTTTCCAGCTGCATCACATGTTCAAGATATTATCTATCTTTACAACATTATCTCTGATATTCCTGGACCACCACAGCTGCAGTAAGACTGTGTGTAATGTGGTGATCTCACTCCTTTGAGATAATACCTCATTGCTGGCAGTGTCTCTGATGGCTTATCATGGTGACTTTCACTGTAAAACATTTTTCACGAGTCTCCTCTTTCTTGTCCTTGCAGATTCTGTGGGGGCTTGATCAAAGACATAAAGAGAAAAGCACCATTCTTCGCCAGCGACTTCTACGACGCTTTAAACATCCAGGCCCTCTCAGCCATCCTCTTTATCTACCTGGCCACTGTCACCAACGCCATCACTTTTGGGGGATTGCTTGGGGATGCTACGGAGAACATGCAGGTGAGCAAGAGCTTTCAGAACCAACAAACAGCATTTCATTCTTACTGTCCGGTCAGAGGAGCGTTTGGGCACCCACAGAGCTGGAATTCTGGATACAATAATGGAGTTGTCCTGTGTTTTTACTGCTTTCTCTGCTGTTGTTGGCTGTCCTTTGACAGATTGTACAGGAGTTACCTTAAATGGGGATTAAAAGCAGGCCAGGAGGTGGAGAAAGTGTTTGCTTCTTCTCTAGAGAGAATTTCCTCTGATCTGCTCTCAGTTGTACCATTTCAGTCCAAATAAGTTTGCTGAGTCTGATTCAGACTTTCCATGTCTGAATCCTCTGCCTGACTCCTACAATACCTGGGCTTCTGTCTCTGGTGAAAAGAACATCCTAAAATTGATAGGAAAGCGAGTAAATCAGGAGATGTGACACAGGAGAGAACGGTAAGGTCGTTAGAAAGATGAATTTTGAAGTAGTGGGAGATCCTGAGAACCAGCTGGCATATCCGTGGACGGGCTGGATCAGTGGACAAGGCAAGAGTTGGGGCTCCAAAGGATAGCTTGGGCTAAAGGAAAGGGATTCTGCATTAACAATGCCATAGGGGCTTCATGTTAGTGGAATAATAGGAAAAATAGGAGGTTGTATTTAGACAGATTCAGTGCAGCCACATCAAATCTCCTAACAATAATTAAGATTGTAGTGACAGTGACTAAATTACTAATTTAAGCAGGTTTAATTAAGTTAAACATGGAAAAGGAGGGTGTGTATCTGGAACTCTGTGCTTCCCTGTGATGAACTACAGGCTGGAGTAAGATCCAGCAGCCTGTGGAGTACCAAACTTCCTTCTCCCCTGTGCTAACAGTTTGCCTTTTCTGAGAGTCATGGAAGTCAGGAATTGAGGGGCCTCTGGGACCCATCAGTGAGCAGCACTGGGCTGTCACTAGGTAGCAGAGCAAAGCCTGTCTGCTCTGCTTCTGAATGAGGTGCAGTCTTTAAATTAGGAGGAGAAAGGGGGAGTGTTACCCAATTCCAAGTTTAGAATCACTTTATCGTGAGTGGCCAAAAGCCTCTTCCGTTACCTTTGTACCCCATGAACATGTATTATCAAGTAGCAAAAAAAGAAAAATGGTATTTTTGGGGCTACCACATCACAGTTCATGTGTCTCGTTGGCTGCAAAGAGTGATGTGACTGCTGCTGGGGCAGACCCTGAGCACGGCCTGTCCCTGCTGCCTGTCCCGGGAGCTGCTCCGGCCGGTGCTTCCTTAACAGCTCGCTCCAGAGTTCTGTGTTTCTGCGAAAAGACACTATTCTTAGCTTCAGACACGTGGAAGAATGCAGGGGAAAGAGATTCCAGATGCGCTGGCCGCAAGGGCCCTCTCCATGAGAAATGCCAGAGGAGTGGAGGGGATCGGCAGTGTGGATGCCGTTCCTCGCCCCGGGAGCAACCGGCTCATCCTCAGAAGTCCCCCAGAGGCAGCCAGCAAATATTACTTCCTTCAGTATAAACACTAATTTGTGTCTTTCCAAGGAAGAGAGACACAAAACTGGACTTAAATTCTTCACAATACCCCTGATAAGTCAGGAAAACTGCAACTCCATCCCTGCAGCGTGTCATGGATGGGAGGAAGGATCTGCGTGTGCTGTTAATTAACATGTGTGGCATTAATGAGGCTGCTGGTTCACACAACTCCAGCCATGCACATAAGCCCGGGGTTAAATCCACCCCTGGTTGTTGGGAACATGTTCCTGGAGAGGGTAATACTGATGGCTGCACGTCCTATTCAGTAGAAGATGATGCTCTTATTACTCCTTTAAAACTCAGTCAAGTGTAAATAGATTAGGAGTAAATGAGGTAAGATCAGCACGTTCTGCACACTCGGCCAGTAATCACATTTTATTGCCATTTATATTTCATCCACATTTTTCATTTTAAAAGTAGATATTGTCCAGCTACAGCTGGACATGAAAATGCAAGAATGCACCAAGTGTGCTGTTCTATCCTTCTCCAGCCAAGCTGCTTTGCCACGCGTGCCAAAGGTAATTGTAGAGCTCGTTAAGTATGGAATTTATGGCTTGCTGGTGACATCTGATGAAGTTGGGTCTTAACACGTGGCTGCTGGGTGAAACAACCTTACTTGGTGTGTGTCTTACTTACTAAACCAGTGACTTGAAAGAGAGGCAGGTTGTTTATCTAGAAAATGTCTGCTCAGTTGGAGAGAGAAAATATCCCACGTCCATTGTCCTACACTGTCCTACACACTCCTACAGCTGTTTGAGGAGTCCCGCAGACGTGTCTCTTTACTGTCAAAGACTTGGAAGATCATAGAATGATACAATGGTTTGGGTTGGAAGGAACCACAAAAGGATCTGGTTCCGACCTCTCTGCCACGGGCAGGGACGCCTTCCACTAGACCAGGTTTCTCCAAGCCCTGTCCAACCTGCCCTTGGATGTTCCAGGAGTTCTGAAATCCTTTAAATGGTCCTTGAAAATGCTCTCCCCCCCTTGTCAAATATAAAATATAGTATATAGCGTTGATAACCTGTGGAACTCAGATAACCAAGGGGGGTTGGTGGTTATATCCTGAGTAACTGTGGATTGTGTGGGACCAACACATCTCAGTGTGAGCTGCAGGAGAGGCAGAGGACGCTCTTCCCTTGCAGCCCATGGCCGGTCACCGACAGAACTGCTCATTTCGAAAGGGTTCTGCAGCAGAAGTGACCCCTGTGCCGTGTGTCCGCAGGGCGTGTTGGAGAGCTTCCTGGGCACGGCCGTCACCGGCGCCATATTTTGCCTTTTGGCTGGTCAGCCCCTCACCATTCTGAGCAGCACAGGGCCCGTCCTGGTCTTTGAGCGGCTCCTCTTCAACTTCAGCAAGTGAGTATGCGGGGGAAGAGGGCGGGGGGGAGGAATGTCCCATGGTAATGAAATCCCAGCCAGGGAATGAGCTGCCTGGCGGTGGGGAAGGAGGGGATTTAGTGCACAAAATGAAACATGTCGCTGTTCCCTCTTGAGATCCAGTGCAATCACATCAGGGATTTTCCCGGCACGCATGTCCCAGGGCGCTGCCCAGTGTGTGGCTGCCTGTCTCCGTGAGGCCTCCTGGAAAGAAATCCTTGACCAGTTCAGTCCTCCATGAGCAATTTGCTCTAGTTTACAGCGTGCTGCTCCTCCCAGCCACTGCTTCCCTGGCTGCTCTGGATTTCCCGTAGGAGCAAAGAAATCAATCCAGCTCTTCACTAACAAAACCCTGCAGGTCTCCAGGTTACCAAAAATTTGGCCTTAAATCTCTAATAGTTTGAAATAATCACTATCATTTGTGAAAGCAAAAGTACCTGTGATAGAAACAGCCCCCAGAATTCTGCAGTGGAGCTTTCCTGCAGTAGAGGCTCTTGGATTTTTTCCATTTAACAGGTATAAAGAGGTTCTACTCCCTCCCCTTTGTTGATAGCTGACACCCAGAGCCAAAGGGAGCCCATTTTGTTAGGTGTGCTCATTTACCAGTCCCACATCTGCAATACCAGGAAAATACACAGGAATCCCTAAGGGAATCAGTGGTGTTATGGATGATTTTATGCATAGGGCTGCTGATCCTTGGGCCTGTGTTTTGCAAGGAGATCGTTTTAGGTTACACAGAATACACCCCAAATCCCTTGCAACCCATGGTCGTGGCATTGCAGGTTGTGCGGGACTTGTGTTCCTACACATAGGGAGGGATAGGGGCTAGGAAGAATAGATGGAAAATTAGATGATTCCAGAGAGGGAAACTGTAAGCTGCCAAAGGGTTGCGAGCTCCACAGTGGAACAAGAGGGGAGCACCTTTCTTTTCTTCCTTTGGCTGGAATAAATGAATAGAGTCAGAAATGGGCATGGCTGCACCTGTTGGCATGTGGCAGGCATGGCACAGCCCAGGTGCAGCACACAGCAGGAAAAAAGCAAGATGGAAAAGCACTTTGTACTGTTTTGGGAGGGAGAAGGTGTTTATTTTTAACCTGAAAAGGAGGTGGTGCAATAAAAGCCATTGTCCTAACAACCTGCCGGAGCAGAAAGGCAGGAGTTTTCAAAGGGAGCCTTTCTCACAAGGAAATTGGAACCGAGGACTGTGATTTTTCTGTAATGCATTTGTGGTTGTTCCTATTCACAACGTGCTGTTCCCTCCTGTGAGCAAAATTAGAAAGACTTCCCATCTACTGACTCATTGGAAGTGTGACTCGTGTGTGTGCGTGTGCGTGCGTGCGTGTGTGTGTGTGTATGGAGGGATTCCTAAAAGCACCTCATGGACCCAGACATGTGCCTGGCTTTGGGTGCTCCGTGGTGCCATCATGGGGGGGTCGATGCTACAGGACACAGTGCTTTTCCACCTGCTCTGTCAGCTTCAGACATGCTGCAGGAATTTGAGGGGTAAAAGCCAAACTAATATAGTTTGAAAGTCTTTGAAGTTCTTCAGTGGTGTGGAGCCAGAGTGTACCTGGGCTCCTGCCAGCTGCCTTCACGTGGATGGCAGCTCCTGCCCCCTCAGGCACGGACTCCGGATATTTCAAAGCTGTCACTGGGGTCTTTTGTTATTATTTTTTTCTCCTTCTCTTTTTTTAAATCACTTTTTTTTTTCTTGCTGCTTACCCTCTCCCAGGCCAGGGCTTCTTGGCTTCCAGGGTTGGGACTGCCAGCCACAGCACCTCCCACTCCCTTTCCCAGAATAGACAGTAACCTCCCTGGCAGGTGCTTATCTGCACCAGTGTCCCCTTTTGGCACTTGTTCACTCCTAAAAGCCCACCTTTGGACTTTGTGCCTCCATGACACTGCAGCCTTGAGCAGCAAACACAGGGCCATCGTTCCCAGCAGGGAACAGTGCAGTTGGCTCCATGGTTCTCCTCAGCCTGCCAGTCCTGGCACCAGGGTTTGTCACAGAATCACAGAACATCCCAGGTTGGAAGAGACCCGCAAGGATCAACAAGTCCAACTCCGTGCTCCTGGCAGGACTACCTAAAACTAAACCATATGACTGAGAGCATTGTCCAGATGCTCCTTGAACTCTCTCAGGCTTGGTGCCATGACAGCTTCCCTGGGGAGCCTGTTCAGTGCCCGACCACCCTCTGGGGGGAGAACCTTTTCTTTATGTCCCATCTCAGCTTCCCCTGACCCAGCTTCATTCCACATAACATCTGCTTTCCTGATCTTGTCTTAACTCGATGTTTTCCTTTCTTGCCACCCCTGTCTTGTTGCAGGGACAATGACTTTGACTACCTGGAGTTCCGCCTCTGGATCGGCCTCTGGTCAGCCTTCCAGTGTCTCATTCTCGTGGCCACCGATGCCAGCTTCCTGGTCAAGTACTTCACCCGCTTCACTGAAGAAGGATTTTCCTCCCTGATCAGCTTCATCTTCATTTATGATGCTTTCAAGAAGATGATCAAACTGGCGGATCATTATCCCATCAACTCCGAGTTCAAGGTGGACTATATCACGCATTACTCTTGTGCCTGTAAACCAGTAGATCCAGGTAAGAGAGTGTTTCATTACCTCTCCAGTTTGCAGGTAGCAGGTGGCATTTGCTCTCTTTTTCCTTTGTGCTGCAACCCAGATAATAGGTAGATTATTCCTTCTTTATCGGCTGTCTTCAGATACCCTATCTTAGGTTTTTTTGGAAGCTGAGGGGTGAATTTCACTATATGTCCCAACTGGAATGCTGGTATAGCCAACTTTCCTGGGACTCCTCTTGTGAGCAGCATGATCAGTAAAGAAGCTTCTCTGCACCCTTGTCACCTTGCATCCCTCTGGCTGTCAGTTCCAAATGGCATTCCTCTGAGAATTCTGTGAAAGGGCAGAAGTGGTGGCCATGTCACTGCCATGGAGCTCAGGTCACTCCTGTTTCAAGTGCTGGAGCTGGATTTATTCAAGGTGTTACCCAAACATGGGTGGTTCCCACCTCCTGGTTGCATGGATGAGTGGGAAAGCACAAACAATTCCTCGCTAAGCGGAAGGGAAGTGTATCCAAAGGGTAGCCTATCTCCAGAGCGTGGGCTGCACGGCAAATAGAGCCTGTATGTATAGGTCTGGGTACACAGCCGGGAACAAAGGGAAACAAAACCCAAATCCAAACAGAGGGAACGCTGGCTGTATCATTAGGGAAGCAGGGACCACTCCTTGGATCCTACACACAATGAGGAGTGAGTAAGAAGCTTGGTCTTGTGCTCAAAGTAAACTGCAGGTTACCTCAGCACACCTGTCCAACAGGAAAAGCTGCTGGCTGCTCCTCGCAGGTGTCACGAGCCATTTCCCTGGGAGCCGGGTGCCTGCCTTATTTATTAAACACAGGATCTTGGCGAGCACATGGATGCTGCTCTGGTGCTGCCTCCATTGGAATGGCACAGTGTTTTCCTTTTCAGAGCCAGGACGGTGGGAATGGTCAATGCCAAGTCTCCACTTCCTATTGAAACACCTGTGGCTCTCCAGACAGCAAAGTAAAAAAAAGTTTATTTAGCAAAACCTCAGTAAAATGGAGGTGGTGAGCCTGTTTGCAGCAAGGACTGCATTCCTAAATGAAATTTCAAATCCATGATTCCTAATGCTGCAAAAGCCAGAGGAAAACGTGTCACTGCCACAGGGAATGCTGCTCCTTCTTTCAAAGGAATTATCCCCATCCTGTTGATTTCAATTACTTGCCATCTTTTTGTTTCTTTTAATTCAAAAAATGTGTTTGTGCTGGACGCTAAAATGCATTTTGCTTTTCTGGATATCTTGGGGGTTGTGCTTACATTTGAAATTAATCATTAGAGTGTTCTGTGGATATTTACTTTAATCCAGAAATCATTAGAAAAATATTGGAAACCCATCGAATGTTATATTGTCTGTCTGGTTTTCTGGTTTGTGTGGTTTTTCTTTTTTTTTTGTTTTTTTTAAACCATGAACTCCAAAAAAAACCTCAGTTAGGTTTGGATTATGTTTCACTTAACCTTTTCTTTCAGTTTTGTGAGTGATTAATGATTGAAGGCTTTTGAATCTCTCTGAAACAACACTTGTGACTCACTTTACTGGAGCAAAGAGGTGGCAAACAGCTTGATGGAGTCAAGAAATTACTTAATAATTGGAATTTTCTCTCCTCCCGAGCCGTTTCCTGCATCCTGCTCACCAAACACCCTTTTCTCTTCTCTCTTGCAGTTAATAGCTCGTTCTTTAACAGGACAGCGGTGCTGTCAGACGATGAGCTGGTCTATTCCTCCTCTGAAATGGTGAGTTCCCCTTGGGAGGGCACGGATTCCATGGGCTACAGTCTCACGGTGCTAATCCAGTGGCGAGCTTTGGATCATGAGAAAGAAGTGGAGCTTGATGGGTCACATTCATTTGTGGGGGACATGTGTGAAGGAAGTTGAGACACAGAATAGTAACTCCTTTTAGTCAGACACCAGCAGGAAAATGGTCTCACCCAAATCATTCTATGACTCCCTTTTATTCCTGCAGGACAACACCACCATTGACTGGGCTGCTCTGACAGCCAAAGAGTGCTTGAAATACGGGGGAAAACTTGAGGGCAACAGCTGTGGCTATGTCCCTGACATCACCCTCATGTCTTTCATCCTCTTCTTCGGCACTTACACCTGCTCCATGGCCCTCAAGAAATTCAAGACCAGTCGCTATTTTCCCACCACTGTAAGTATCTCCTTTCACCCGAGCAGTCTTCCCGAGGGCAAAGCTCAACCTTCCTTTTGGAGTAGCTGTCACGCACACAGGGAGGGGTGCTCTGCAGGGAAGCCAGGTTGGACTGGTTGGGATAAAAACATGGAACTGGTTAACCAAGGTATGCCCGGGATTGCTCCCAGTGGTTCTGGAGGGCACAGGTAAGGCACAGAAGAGCCAAGAGGAGCCATAATCTCTCCTGGGAATGTAGCAGGCATTTTAAAGGCACTGAAGACAACACTTCCAAACTTACAGGCACCTCTCAGGTGCATCTGCTTGTTTTGTCCCCTCAGGTGAGACTCCCACAGCAGGCGTGCAAGCCGGAGCTTTCCGTGTGTGCCAAACCCGTGTTTCTCTCTGAGACTTGCCCCATTTTTGGCATTCTGACACACAGGGATTTATCCTGCATGGATGTTTACTGTCCTGCTGTGTTACAATTGAACCTCTCTTACTTTTAATAAAAAGGAAACAAATTCCATCCGGGCTGGAATGCAGCTCAATTTGTCTGTAACCATGTGAACCCAGGAAACCAGGAAGGAACAATGGCCCTAGAAAGCTCACACAGTACCAGGCAAGCACAGTGGCTCCTGCACAGTTAAATTTTGGCGTCTGACCAGTGGCAGCTTTAAGTTGTCATATTCCAATGACTTCAGGAGAGCTGCAGTCTTAGGGATTTAGCTGAGAAGCCTGGTTTGTTTTCCTGTCAGCTTAGGTTGATTCATTACTTGAACAGCAAACAAGGTAATCTCTGCCAGAGTATCTCATTTGTGGAAGTTTGGGTCTTCCCATCTCCTAAAGGAAATTTTGTGACTTTCCATTGTGTTGTTTTCATGCTCCCATTTAGGCTTTCAGACACCACAGTAAAGTACCAAGGCACTTGTAGGCAAATGGCGCCAGACATGACAGTGGGCATCTTTGTGGAAGAAGGAATGCTGAGTTTGTCTTGCCACAAGGTCTTATGTAGACACTAAAGCGTGGGTGAAGCGGTGTTTCGTGGTGCTCACTCCTGCTGTTATGATACCACCTTCTCTTTCAGGCCCGGAAGCTCATCAGTGACTTTGCCATTATCCTGTCCATTTTGATTTTCTGTGGAATAGATGCCCTGGTTGGTGTGGACACACCAAAACTAATTGTGCCAAGTGAATTCAAGGTATGTAATTGTCAGACCTGTGGAAGAGGTTCACTTCCCCCCTACCTACCCTGTGTGGAATGACTTGCCCTCAAAATGGGAGCATAGTTAGTGCTCTGGAAAGGGCTGATTTACTCAGAGGATATCCTTTTTGTAGCATCATTTTGATTGGCTGATTAATATCCTAAATCCTGCCTCCATACTTGGAACCTTTCCTTGTTAGTGGGAAAGATGAAATTGTCACAAACCTCCAGTGTCTCCCTGTAGTCCCATTGCTGGAATTACGCCTGGTTTGGGGATGTCATCGCTCCTGTATTGCACCTCCAACAACAGCTTTCTTTTCCCTGTCCTTCGAAGCCAACCAGTCCCGAGAGGGGTTGGTTTATCCCACCTTTTGGAGGGAACCCGTGGTGGGTGTACCTGGCAGCAGCCATCCCTGCCCTGCTCGTGACCATCCTCATCTTCATGGACCAGCAGATCACCGCCGTCATCGTCAACAGGAAGGAGCACAAGCTCAAGGTGGGTGTGCTTTGTGTCTTGAGCGCTTGCAGGGGCTTTTCCTCCTACCACTTTGCTGCCTCACGGACATGAGCCTGTTCCCTGTCACTGGCTGCTGTTTTTAAGGAGGAGAAGTTGCTTTGTGGTCGCGGTCACGTTGCACAGTGCTGTCAAATACGAGCAATAAGCTGGAGAGATTTGGGACATACCAAGGGCATAGCCCCAGTTGGATGTTATTTAAAGAAGAGCTGACACGAAACAGCCTAGGATGTAGTTGTGTTTTTAAAATAAACTTTCCAGAGTGGTGCTATGCAGTTTTTCGTGCCTGTAGGGTTTTTCCTTTCCCTGCATGGTCAGTTCTATTGAAAAATATTACATTCCTGTAAAAGAAGACTCTCCCTTCCTGATAATAGAGCGTGTGGTGTGACCGGTGGGAGTAAAGACCCACTCAGAACACAGGTAATAGTGGGTCATTATTCAGATACCTACAGCTATAACCTTCATCAGTTACAGGGAGAGCTGTTGGAAATGGGAAGGGAGCTTTTGCTTTGAAAAGAGGAGGATGTTTCAATTGACGTGGTCACTGTGGACAAGTAACATGTGATTTAAGGCCATCCTGAGCCTGACCTGGAGGAGAGAGTCGGAGTACCAGGGAATGGGAAAGGTTTGTTGTGCACAGTGATGATGGCGCACAGATGCTGGCTCACAATTTAAAAAAAACCCCTCAGAACATCCCTGTTTGCCACCTTTGATACTGGGCCCTCATCTTCCTCAGGGCAGGCTGATTGTTGCCATGGTCTCAGTTTTAGGTCTGTCTCCTGCACCTAACTAAGCAGACATAGCATTTTGTTAACCACTGGGAGAATATATTCACTGTCCTTCCCCCATGAAAAAGAGACCCCTCATCTCTGCAGCTTATAAAGCTCATGAACCACACAACGTGGTTTTGCTGTCAGCCCTGGGTGTACTTTTTTAGTAACAAAGTTATAAACACTCCAGCAAAGTACTGTTAATATAAAAAATGTATTCCCTGCTTCCCTTGTTACATGTGAGCTCTGTGTTTATTGGAATTGGGGGTTCTCAAGTCCCATCCTGTTGCTTTGCACCAAAAAACACCTCTGTACATAAGATTTACTGAAAAAAAAAAGGTCAGGTTTTTTTCTGCTCATCCCTTGCTAAAGCCTTGGCAGAGTGTCACAGGGTGCCTGTCCCAGTGCCACCAGCCAGCCAAGGTAAGCAGTGCACGTGTGAGGAAAACAGTGAGGACTATTCAAGAGGAGCTGGGTTGCTTTCCCTCCTGGGTCATCCTAGGTCTGGGTTGGGGTTTTTTTCCAATAAAATCAAATTAAACAGGATTAAAAAAGAAGGCTAATCTGTTTTAAAATAACACACCTTAGAGGTCTGTCTGGTGTTTTTCTGAAAGTCCCTTTCTTTGGTGGTTCTTTTGTTTCTTCACTTCTCTTGGCGCTTGTGACCACTGGATTTCCTGTGTTAGTTCATGAAAGGATTTAAAAAATAGAGCATCAGGGGTCTTTGAAAAGGAGTCAGGAATGAGGGCAGCTTTCTGCTTTGGATAGGGAATGACCCTTCAGCTGTTCTTGTTGCATTCCATAAAAGGAACCTAGGATTGGGTGTTGAGGGAGTTGCTTCCAGCACCAGGCACCATCTGCAGAGCCCAGGCCCATTGAGAAGTCCTGACTAGGAGATCCTGCAGTTCAGACCTCACTCTGAGACAGCCAGTGTCACATGTTACCTTTAGGCAGGCACCATATGTCTGTAAGGTGGCTTTCTTCCTTAAGTCATCACACTGCAAGTTGTTGTTCAACAGCTGCTTCAAACTAAAATTAGGCTTTGGGCTGTTTTTTTAAAGGGTGGTTTGAGTGTTTAAAGCTCTGTAGGCATCCAAGCATCACTTACAAGGATGTGAGATGACTTGGGGCACAACCCATCTCTCTCTCTCTCTCAATCTCTCTCTCTGTCTATCTCTATATTTATTTTGAAAGCTTGCTATATATTTGTTTTGAAAGCTTGCTTATGCTGTTTACAAGATCCAATGTATATTTGGTGTTTGGCTCTGTTTGCCAAAAGAAATTGTAGAAGGAAATGCCACTTGTCCAGTGTGCCTGTGCCCCGCTCCGTAGGCACTTGGAATAATTCAGCTGAAGGTTGTTTGTCTCCCTTTCACAGAAAGGTGCTGGATATCATCTGGATTTGTTCTGGGTGGCCATTCTGATGATCGTCTGCTCCTTCATGGGGCTGCCCTGGTATGTGGCTGCTACCGTCATCTCCATCGCTCACATCGACAGCTTGAAGATGGAGACGGAGACTTCAGCCCCTGGAGAACAGCCCAAGTTTTTGGGAGTGAGGTATGTCCAACCAGAAAGGCCTTAATTACTGTGTTTGCCTGTAAAATCCTTTTGTACAAAGAATTTTGTGCTGCTCTCTCCCTATTTCCAAAGCCAGCCGTGAGATTCAGCAGCACAGGTCTCTGGCGATTCCTTGGGCAAACCCCAGGTGTGATTCCTCAGAAATTTATTTGGCCAGATCAGATGCAGTTTTCCAGTGTTAAAGAAGATAAATTTCCTGCAGATTTCTTTATCCATGGAAATGAGGCATTCCTTAGCAAATGTAATGGTCAGACATGCAAACCTGTTGTGCCTAGAGCAGTCAGCTCTACTTAATGGAGTTATTTTTTCTGTGTTTGGTTGCCTTAATTAAGTGGTCTGAAGTGCTTCCGATGGCAGCACTCCTGGAAATCAGGCTGCTTGTTTAGGCAACTAAATAGAAACTTAATGACCTGACTTACAGTGCTCAGAAACATTAGTGGCCAAGGTATTTTTGGAAGTGGGAAGCCCTATGGGCACTGATGAAGGCACAAGTTCAGCACCTCATGAAGGTCTCAACCATTTTTCCAAGCTGCTGGAGTGCTCTGAGCAGGACTCACAATATGTGACTGATCTAAGGGTGGTGAGCTAATGATTTTTTATCTCTCTAAGTACGGCCGTGTGGGGAATTTGGAGTGCTGGTTAATGGTCTGTAATGTTTAACATGCAAACACACCCCTCCTCACTCAGTAGCAGTGCTGTGTTGACCCCAAACAGCATAAAGAAACCAATCTGGGGTTTGAAAACAGGGCTGTGCAGGGCTTAGTCAGGATCCAGCCACATGTCTGATGCTGTAGGCTGAAAAACATGGCTGCAAAAGTGAGTTTTTGGGCTTTATGTTGCGTACTCAGAATATAAAACCAAAGCTATGCTCCTCACCCAGTGATGTTGTTTCAGGGAGCAGAGAGTCACTGGAGTCATTGTTTTCATCCTGACTGGGGTGTCTGTCTTCATGGCTCCCATCCTGAAGGTAAGGATGGTTTACAGTTTTTTGGAAGCTTAAATCCAAACCTTCTGGAAGGCAAACCCACCATGGTTGTAGTGTGCTGGAATAGTGACGAAGTTCAGGGCTGGGAATCTTGGGCACTGTGATTTTTTTTCATTTTAAGATTATTCTTCTGTGTTTGCATAAAGTTAAGTTTCCTTTTCTTTTATGATTCCTTTTGTACCTTTGCCATGCCTGCATTTTATGGAAAACGAATCACGGATAAAGCTCAAGAGTATGGAAAACATGTTTCTGGAGGAAATAGTGTAATTAAATGGCATTCCTTCATCCCCTGAATCTTTTTTTCCTGTGAGTTTAGCCAAGACTCTGGACAGATGTGCTGCTTGTGGATCTAGGTAGGTTGCTATTTTCCAAGACCAGAAATGTTTTGGCACGTAGCCACAGAGAAATGCATCCTTAGTGGATCATCAGATTGTAGAAGGGAACTGGAAAACCTGCTTATCCCTGTCTTGTGGAGGACACAGCCTACTCTGGGAATGGTGATGGAAGCAGTGCCAAGCACAGACATGCAGTCCAATGGGAAATGTCAGCTGCAGGTGTCCGTCTTCATGGATCCCAAGGCCGATGGTAGAAGCAGAACATGTCAAATCAGTGGCACCATGCATTATAACTCCAAGATGGAGCAGATGGGTGTCTGGAGGAGCATTTCTGGAGGAGGCAGAGGAGTTTTTGGAAACCACAGGGGCTGCGAGGCACAGTGAGATGTGAGCCTGAGGGGAGGAGGCAGGCAGGGAGCAGCAATGCTGCCTGTGGAGAGAGTGGAGACAGTGGCTTTCCAAAGCCAGCGTGTTTCTCTTCTTCATTTCTAAGGTTGTTTGTACGGCTCGAATTTTGATGTCTTGGTAACAGTTTCCGCCTCTGCACAAACAGGCACTTCCGTGCCCTTAATTTAATGCCTGATTGTGATAATCCTGTTTGTTAGTCCATGTGACCTTTCCCTGCAAGATCCCTCTTCCTCTGTTCCACTGGGGTCTATTATTTCCCCTGTTATTGCTTCAGTCATTAGTTCTTTGCTGTGCTTCCCCTAAGACAGCGTGTGGGGAAGATCCTCGCGGGAGGACGCCTGAGGATAAATAGGCACGCTCCTGGCCCACGTGCCAGCGGGAAGGACCTGGCAGCATTTCAGGACCTTTAGCAAATTCCAGTGGCAGGGTCCTGCTGGAGGGAGCTGCTCTGCTAAATGCATTGCAGAACATTTCAGTCTTCTGCCAGCGGCGAGTTGAACGCTGACGATCCCAAATTCAATAAACCAGGCAATGCATGGAATAATCCCAGCTTTGTTTTCTGGGGGTTTTGTGGTGATTGTGCTGGTTTTGGATGTCACTGGTGTTTCTGCTCAACTGTGGCAGATCTCCACAGAAACATCCTCGGCCCTGCTGAGAGAGTGACAGGCACTTTCCTATAAATACAGTTTTAATCCCCTTGGCCCACAGCAGGTTTGGTCGGAGTGCTGAAGCCAGCAACCCCATCATTGGGGAAGACTTTGCCAAGATAAAGTCTTCCAAAATGACAGCACCGCTTGCTGCTCTGCAGGATAATGTCCTGAGGTTTCACCTCGGGAGGATCTACGGGATTAATCATTGTGGAATGGAGAAATAATATCTGGGCATTTTTCTATTTTTAAAAAAACCCAACAGAAATAAGAAAAAGGGGAGGAGAGCAGTGGAAATGAGCTAGAAAGCTGAACTCTGATTTCTGGAGATGTTGTCTTGTCTTGTCTCATCCCTCAGATCCAGTGAGGGCTTTGAATCCTGGGGTCACCCACAGCTTTGTGAACCACACACTGGGTCCCCACCCCACCCACAGTGGTGATGGCAGATCCCCACTGTGGAGAAAACATTTGTCTTTTAATGGGCATTATCAACACGGCTCTCCAGAGGAAGGAAATAAATCCAAGAGAAGGATGAGTTAGCAAGCAAGAAGTGTGCAGGAGCTGATAGGGAATAAGACTCGGGAAGGAAGGAAAAATGTAGGCAGGAGAACTTTGAATGGCACGTGACCAGGTGACTTTGATGCTCATGTGCCCCCAGGGAAATGCTTGTAGGAAACAGATGAATAAGGTGGTGGGGAATACGCTAAAACACTGGATAGCTGCCCTGTTATTTGCCTCTTTCATGAGCTCTGTGCAGAGGTTGGAAGGGGAGTGTTCCCAGCACAGGAGTTCTGGGAACAGCACATGCTGTGGCTGTGCTGTGGCTGCCGTTCAGTGGCAGCCACCCGGCACTGCATGAGGGCTGTCCCTTGGAGCTTGTTCCATCCCCCTTGGGCTCCAGTAAATCCCACAAAGGCCGTTATTCAGCTCCTGCCTGTGGTTTGTTCCAAGCATCCCCGTTCCTGTCACACCAGGCTGGCTGCACAGTTCTGCTGGGGGGGACAGAGACTCGTTCTGAGGAGCGTGTGTGATGTTCCTCACTCCCACAGGAAGTGGAGGATGGAGGAATGGGCGGCACTTAGCACTCGAGGGAGCAGAAAGTGATGTTTGAAAGGACAGATCCTGGCAGTGAAGAAGGGAACTCTCAGTCCTGTATTTGGGATTAGTTAGGGATTAATGTGTGTGAGAGATGGAGCGGGCAGAGATTGGGTTGGCATGACTGTCATCGCTGAGGTGGGGCTCCAGAGAAGAGCCTTTCTGCACAGATTTGTATGACTTACTGACCCGGATGTGGAATCACAGGATTGTTTCAGTTGGAAAAGCCCTCCAAGATCACCCAGTCCAACCAGCACTGCCAAGCCCACCATTAAACCCTGTCCCCAGGTGCCTCGTCTACACAGCTTTTAAATTCCTCCAGGAATGCTGACTCCACCACTTCACAACCCTTTCCATGAAGAGATTTCTCCTAATATCCAGTCTAAACCTCCCCTGGCGCAACATTTCCACTTGTCCTGTCACTTGCTACCTGGGAAAACAGGATATACTTCAAACCACAGGATCACTCTGCCTTCTCTGCCTTCTGCTTCCAGTCTCATCACAAAGCCAGAGGTGAAAGGCAGTTTGCAGCTCATTGGAGCACGTTTCCCCACCTCCTCCTTAACTCGCTGACTGACTGCCGTCATTCCCTGTTGTTCTTGGCGAGACGTCCAAGTCCTGGTCAAGTGGGGGAGTGTGATTGCACAAATGTCCTTGTTGTCTCTCAGAACACAGCAGAAGGATCTATTTATTTGGCTTTGCTTTGCTTGATTATTTATATGGCTTTATTCCTCTGTGTTGTCCACTCATAGATGCAGTTTGAGTTGATCACAGGCTGGGACTGACATCCCACCACGTGTTGGCAGCGCACTGTGTACAGGGAGAGTTGTTCACCCGGTTTCTCCTGCTCTTCCTCCCGCAGTTCATTCCCATGCCTGTGCTCTATGGTGTCTTCCTCTACATGGGTGTCGCGTCCCTCAACGGCGTGCAGGTGAGTCCCTCCAACATCACGGAGAAGGTAGCAGTCATTAACCAGCACAGGGGCCCTCCCACAGCCCTCCAGCTTTTCACTTCTCCTTCACTGCCTCATCTTCCTTCCCAAGAAACCCAGGGAGGGTGGCAGCTGTCACAACCATTGCACAACCTGGGTGTCCTGAGGTGAAGACCGAGGGAGAGTGGCCAAGTCCGGGCACTGTCTGTGCCAGGGAGTGCTTTGTGAAGACCCAGGTCCATCCTGGGCCTTGGAGCAACCTGGTCTAGTGGAAGGTGTTCCTGCCTGTGGCAGGGGGATTGAAACAAGATGGTCCTTAAGATTCCTTCCAACCCAGACCGTTCCAGGATTCCACAGGCTTCCTCCCCAGCTCAGGCTCGCTCCCAGGGTGGTTTGGGTCCTCTGCCACAGACTGAAGGCAAACAAGGAGGATGATTTATGGCAGTGGGGTTATTCTGCAATGCTAACGAGCGGGAACATTGTTCTCTGGGGAGGGGAAGCCAAGCCCCTCTCTTTGTCGTTGAGGAAATCTTATGTAAGGAGCCGTTCTCATGGCCAGCGCCTGTAGCTGGCCCAAGGAAGCTGGAAGTGGTTTTGTTGCTTTCTGGCACCCTGTTAAATATGGCCTTTCTTTTATTGCTGGGTTGTGCCCTAAGGGGAAGGGACTGCCTGTTCTGTGAGCTCCAGGAGAATTCCCTCGGGGGTTCTGCAAAACAGCCCCAGGTTCCATTCACTGGTGCAGGATCCGTCTGGTCCTGGCAGTGGGCAGTGAGCCCACCTTGGGCAGGGGACAACAAGGGGATTGTCCTGTTGGCCCTGGGGCTGGCTCTCCCGGAGGGGATTTCCCCTGCTCCTGGTCCAGGTAGTCAGGGAACTGGGCAGATTGTTTTCCCCCCAGTCAAATGTGTTTTTCACTGCATGAGAAATCCCCATTTTGGTTTAGCTCCAAGTCCATCCGGTCCAGCACAGGGCAAAGGGGCACTACTGGGAAAGCTGCCCGTCTTCCTCGCTCTTCAGCGAGGTGCCGCTCTGTTCTCTGGCAGTGTGGTGTCTGCCCTCGCCTCTGCTGACCTCTGCTCCTGATTTATTTGGGGAAAAGAAAAGCACTGTTCCTAAATGCTGAATGTCTTTCCTTGGCAGGACTGGGGCAGGGGAGGGCAGCAGAAGTGCCCCAGAGTGTGATGCTGACCCTGGTTTGGGCATTCGTCTTGTTTTCTCTCTTTTTTGTGCATCGTGCATTTCATTTCACTGTCCCTTTCTTTTCTTTTGCAGTTCATGGATCGTCTAAAGCTGCTCTTGATGCCTCTAAAACATCAGCCTGACTTTATCTACCTGCGCCACGTCCCTCTGCGCAGGGTCCACCTCTTCACCTTCCTGCAGGTGGTGTGCCTGGCCCTCCTCTGGATCCTCAAATCCACCGTGGCTGCTATCATATTCCCTGTCATGGTAGGTGACGCCCTCCATCACATCTCTCCCTCCCTCCCTTCTCCCTCACATCCCTCCCTTTCACAGCCTGCACCTTCCGCAGTCATTCCCTCCCATAAATGGGTAAATACAACCTCTCCCTGCCAAATGCCTGGCTCAGGGCTCTGCTCATGGGTCTGGTGTAGGACTGCATGGGGTCAATGTGGCTGTGCCTGCCTTTACATAAATCCTCTGGAGGAAAACGAGCCTGGAAAGTTAATTTTTTCCCAGAAAGGTGTAGTTAGTGTTGACCGTTCCTGGCTGCCAAGGTTAGATTTGCCATGGTTTCTCCTTGAGCTGCATGAACCAGGGAGAGGAGCAGTTTTCCTGTTTTAGTCCACGCTAATTACCGGATACAAAATGTCTCCCTGGCTTTTAAATAGCACAAATTGACAAAACCAAGAAGGAGACTCAGTGCTAAGAGGGGTGCCAGAGGGAGGGAAAGGATTAGAGGAAAAAAAGGAATGTCTCTTTTCCTTGAACTTGAGTAAAAAGGCCCTAATGTTGTTTCATATCAGAGGGTGATTATTCAGATCATTACTGGAGCTACAGACACAGGCTCCCTCTGGCTTGGAGATAGGTCAGACTGCTGCAAAGGCAAAGCTTTATGAAACTCCTGAGTAAATTTGGACCCCCCAGGTCACCTGATTTCAGGTTTATGGACAAGTAAAATCTCAGTTGTGGGGGCAGGTCCTTGCAGTGCTTATTTAAGGGGCAGAAGGAGGGAGGGCAGAACCCAGATCGAGGACAAGCTGGTGAAATGAGAAAAGATGATGCAAGTAAAAAAATCCTCCAAATGTTCCCTCTGGGACACATGCTTCTGTAAAAAGCGTTAAAAATCAGCAGTTCCCACTCTTTCAGTTCCATCACTTTTCCATGTCTGTGTTGGAAGCTGAATCTAAAATCTCTTTGCCCATAATAGAATCTGAGTGAACCCCAAGTCTGCTAGACTTTGTTTTAATAGTGCAAACTCAGGGAAGGCACAGCCACAGCTCTGATGGAGCTGAATCTGGTGGCAAAACCTCACTTACCTGCACTCAGGAACTAAATTACTGTGAACTCCCAATTTGTGAGGATCCAGACAGTAGCCAACTCTCTGTTTATTTGGAGGAAAGGCATTTCAACACGGCAGTAATTCATAGTGGGATGATCACGGGTGTCTGCGTGGCATCTTTCCACCCCCTGAGTAATTCCTCACGTCTGTAATCGTGTCTTAAGTTATGCAAGTCAAAGCTTGAGATCTTTTCCTGGGAATTGTTTGTGCTGTTGATCACCATTGCTTGGCACAAACTTTTCCTTGAAGGCAGCCTGTTGGGAATGGGCTACAGCTTCCAGCCTGTCCGTGTGCCCCTTGGCAAAACCTGTGTGGGATCTGATGGACGTGTCAGACCCAGCATCCATGTAAACACCCATTTGAGACACGTCCCTTCCTTTTTTCCCAGTGCCTTCGATTGCAGGGTTGCACAGAACAAGCTTTTCCTCCAGTTCCCTGCAGCCATAATTTGAGTAAACTTTATTCTGCAAACTCTGGGGGCACAGATTGGCCCTTGTCTGATTTCTAAACAGCCCCTGCATCTGGGGAAGTGGTGAGAAATAAGGCCAGTAATAAAACTCAGACTGCCCTGCAAACCTACATCCAAAAGTAAATGAAAACACTCATTTTTTGTCTCTTTATTATTTATAATACAGGAGTATTGAGTGACTATGGTACTGTTTTGTGTCCATTGTTTATTCTGATGTGAAGCAGTCACAGCTCAGCCTTTGCAGTCGACAGATGTGTCCCAGGTGTTCACCACCTTATCTGTATGTTCATTTGCAGCCAGAATTCAAGTGGCTTAGAAGCAGCATTGAGAGGAAAGTGTTCCCAGTGAAAGGTAAAATGTGACTGGGAATCCCTCTCTGCCTTTGCAGATCCTGGCCCTGGTAGCAGTCAGAAAAGCCATGGACTACCTCTTCTCCCAGCATGACTTAAGCTTTCTTGACGACGTCATTCCAGAAAAGGACAAGAAGAAAAAAGAGGACGAGAAGAAGAAGAAAAAGAAGAAGGGCAGTATGGATAGTGACAATGATGATGTAAGGAGCTTTCTGCTCTTGTCACATTCCTCCTTCCTAGCTATCTAACCTCGGGCACAGTCTGTGCCCCTGCCCAGTGCTCTCTTGGAGCTGACAGCTCAGTCTTTTGCTGCTGCAGCAAACGGATCGCAAAGAAAACTTCTTTCCTACGTTGCCTTCCCTTTTCCAACCTGTGGTGGGGTGGTTTGTGCATTGCCAGGAATGAGATCACACTTGCCAAGAGCAGTAGGTACCTGCTGGGATGTCATGCCCCTTGCTAGAATGCCTCTCATCACCCTGCCTCCTCCAGCTTCCCTCCTCTGCCTTTCTCCCTGTCGTTGTCCCTTACATTTTAGGAGGAGAATGCTTTTCACCAGCACCTTTGGTCCTTCTGGTTTTCTTTTTTTATTATTTTTTAAAAATTATTATTATTTTTTTATTTTTGTAATGGCTCTTTTTTTTTGAAAGCACAAAAAAAGATGTGACTGCTTTCTGTTGGTAATACTCATCATCTAAATATTTCCTGAGCATCTGTGCCCTCTGCTGTACACTCTGGTCCTACCTCAGGTTGCAGCATATCCTGAAATAGCAAAAAGTGACCTGACTAGACCAGACCCACGTGCCTTTGACTCTTCTGTTTTTTACTGTATATATCAGAAGAAGAAATATAGTCCTGGTGCCTTCAAATGTTAATGTTATCCTGCTCAGGTCTAACTCAAATCCTTTAAATTTATACTGAAGTGCTAAACACACTCCACGGGGAGTCCAAAGCACGACATCACCACTTCTGCTCGTGTATCCACCCAGGGTCCATGAAGAAGGGCTTTCCCTGGGATGTAGGGAGAGGTAAGGTCCCCTGAAGCTGGAAAAGAATCCCATTTTGGCACGGCAGGAAAAACAGCTGGGAGGATTGGCTCTTACTTCAGACAGCAAGCTCCCCTGTCCCATCATTCCTCCAGTTCCCAGGGTGAGGGTTTCCTTCAGCACCTAAATTTGTGCAAACCAAAATGAGATTAAAAGAGGCCCTGCTGAGTAATCAGCAAAGGTTTGATTCCATCCCCTCCTCTTGACTGGTGTGCATCCAGCAGCTCCAGCCATGGCTCCCCTCTGTCCTGTATGTTTTAAGCTATCTCCTCTCTTCCCAGGCTTTTCCTGAATTCCAGGTACAGTAATTAATCTAGTGAGTAAGAGATTTTATGCAAAATGTTGGTTCTTAACTCTTGTTGGGTTTTTTTCAGCGCTTGCTTTTACCAGCTTCCTGAACGTAGAGCTCTGGGCATTACTGGTTGGATTACTTTCCTTCTTTCCCTTCCAGAAATATCCACCCCCAGGGTTAATCCTGTGGGATTTGGGGGGCAGTTCACGGGTCTGAGTTCAGCCAAGGGAACTGCTAGGCGTTGCTAATGCTTTATTTGAGTTATGCTTGTCCCTCAGCCTCATAAAAATAGTCCCAAGGAAACATCTTGCTGTTGGGAGTATGAAATGAGGCACTGGATGTCAGTTATGTTAAAAAATAATTTAAAATAAGAATAATAATCCAAGGAGAGCAATTCTCTGGCCTCCCTAGTGTTTTCCTGCCCTGACTGGAAGGTCTCCTCCCTCCACCCTGGCATTGTGGGTCTGGTTCTCTTCAGGAACAAAGATGTCCCAATGTTTCTTGCAAATCCCACCTTCCTGCCTTTGCCAAGTTAGGCAATATCAGCCTTTCCTTGGCTATGAGAAGTTCCCTTTATTTTTAAAAAAGCAGAATAATTCCAAGTACCGTCTGCTAAGCATTAGCAGGTGGGTGATAGAAGGCAGTGGGCTGTAAGCCCTGCTGGTACCCCAGCTTTTCCCTTTGCCTCTTCCTGACCTGGTTGCTGTTTCTCCTGCCAGGCCAGGGATACTGAATCCTTCCGAGGGTCCTGGAATTGATGAACTAGAGGTGTAACTGAGGCTGGGTTTTACCCAAATTAAAGAGGGGTTGCTGAGCCAGCCCAGCATATGGAACCTCTGCCCTCGTAGAGCAACTGGGAACAATTAAGGGGTTTTACAGAAATCCCACTAGGATAAAAGGTTTGGATGAGCTTTCCCAGCAGTCAGTGCCCTGCTATGTCTGCCCACAGATCCGTTTTCTGTCTGTATTTCCTGCAGCCGACTCCAAGCAGAATGGGATGGTGTCTTAAAAGCTGGTGGGGTGGGAAAGGGGAAGATTTATGTTAATTTGCAATTCCACAAGATTATCCTTTCAGTCTGTTTGACTTTTGGAGTGTGAAGGACAAGGGGAAGTGGGGTGCAGTGGGGAACCAGTGGAATCCACCAGGCAACTAAAACTAAGCTGGACGATGCTTTTCTCTTTTTCCTTCTTTTCTTTTCCCCGTTCCTACAGAAACTATGTGAAGGATAATTTTAATGTGTGGGAGACGATAAGAGAGAGAGCAGTGGGAATGTTCTAAGACCTTTTACACGTTTCTTTCACAGTCTGACTGCCCCTACTCAGAAAAAGTCCCAAGTATTAAAATCCCAATGGACATCATGGAGCAGGAACCTTTCCTAAGTGATAGCAAACCTGCCGACAGTGAGTAGAACTAACCTCTTGCATGCCTGCTTGACTCTGACTTGCACTACAAATATATATATATATTTAGAGTGATTTTTTTTTTATTTTTTAATCTTTCCTTTTACTTGAGAAGTACTTTTTCTTGTTCTGTTTTTTTTCCTCTCTTTTTTAATTTCCAGGCCTCTGCTTTATGACAGATTTTGCTTTTGTGAGCTTTTTGTTTTGTTTTTTTTTTTTCCTTTGCTGGTTACAAAATCAATGTTGTTCTTTCTGGTGCCTCCAGCTTAAGTGCTTTTCTCCAGCTCCTGACAGGTCTCCTGGCCACCCACTCTCTCCTCTCCTCTCTCCCTCTCCCCCTTGGTGTTAACCTGCTGATGGTGGGATTTATTTTTTTCCTCTGAGCCTGGTGTTCTGGATTTGCAGCTCTGTCCTTGTCACTGTTTGTTCCCTTAGGTGCCAAGCAGTTGCAAAAAAAATCAGCACTTAACAGAGTAATTAATTATTTGTGTCATTAAGCTGCCCAGGCAGGGATCAGTTGGTCATTAACTTATTTCCCTTCTTAGGTGATTTGCTTTTGTGCTCTTCTCTTGGTTTTAATTTCTCATGTTAATATCCATAATTGCTGATTGTAATCTTTATTTTCAGTCATTCCCACTTAACATTTTCCTCTTTTAAGTGAGGAATCACAGCTGACCTTGGCTTTTTTGCCTTTGGGCTGACTTTTTAGTATACTAAGGGTGTCATATGCTGTTTTGTTGTGAGATGGGAGGGGAGAAATACAAATTAGAGTAATAAATTAGTGCTGCTGCCAGACTGGCAGACCTGGGGGTAGGACCTAAACCCTTAGATGATAAATCCTTAAATTATCCTTAGGGTTTAAGAGCTGGAACCCAAGTCCCTTTCCTTTTGGTGGCATAGAGAGGCCTTGGGCAACACGGAGCATTGCTCTGTGGGTTTTAGATACAGAAGCACTTAGAGATTGGGGATTATAAAACAAAAGTAATGGAAAAGAGACATTTTCCTGGTTATTTAGATATCGTCAGTGTTTTGCTGATATCAGCAAACAATCCAAAATCAGCCTCAGGCAACAACACATCCTCCTCATTCTGTGAAAACACTCTGATATGCTAAAAGCAAATTGCATCCTAAATATTGTTCCACAGGATTTTAGGATCAGATGCCCTGTTTTTAACATTTTTATGGCTACAACAGTTAGGGAAAAGTTAATTCTGCCATGTTGGAATGCCCTTGGAGATGGCACAGGGTAAATCACCCATGAGCCAAGCTGTAGTTGGTTTGTGTATCGGTACATTTCTGTAATCAAGTATTTGATTTGTTGGTTTTTAATTAGAAATAATGCGAAAAAAAATTAAACCTATCAGGCCATTGGAACAGAAAAAACAGCCAGAATTCAGTACCACTTGGTGTTGTCCTTGGATATAACTGTGCTCTGCGATCCAAAGTATATTCCTAATAATACCACTAACATCAGCTTTCCTCCAGCAAGAGGAATAGGGCTGTTATTCCCAGAGAAATAACACAGGGTCAGGAGAGAGAAGCCAGTCCAGGCAACAAGCCACCCTATTTCTCCCAAGGAATGTGGGTGTGACAGTGGGAGCACAGGGTAACTGAGAGGAGTAGATCCAAGGTAAGTGTCCAGCCCTAAAAGTGGGCAAACTCCTGGGAAACTGGGCCTGTTGGCACCGCAAGGATTTTTATCTTGGAGGAGAGAGAGAGAGAGAGAGAGAGAGAGGAGTGAAGTGAATCCATCTGACAGGCAGCAGGAAAAGAGCTTTGCCAATGGATGAGGGTTGGAGAAACTGAGGCAGGGCTGGAGGAGCCATCAGTGCTGCAGCAATGACAGCCCAGGCTTTCTTCCTCCCCTCAGGAGAAAAATCACCAACATTCCTTGAACGCCACACGTCTTGCTGATACAATTCCTTTCCTTCAATCACACGCCATGCCAAGGTAAGCACCTGGAAAATGTGCTTTGGAATCATCCCAGAAAAGTATCTCTGCTCCCCCTCAGCACACCCAAAGTTTGCTGTAGGGAATTCTTGAAAAAAAGCACTTGGAGAACATTCCCCACCTTGGATTGCAGCATCCTGAAGTGATTATGAACAAGTTGATTCCATAATTATTCCAGCCCTCGCAGTGCTTGGGATGGGAAGTGGAGAACCTGTGGGAGATGTGAAGGCTTCACTGGCCTTGGATAGACCCTGGCTGCAGCACTGAGGACTGGTTTGGGAGCCAGACCAGGAGAAAGAGAGAAAGACTCCCCCTGGGAGGAGTCAAGAGGGGCAGTGCTAAGGGGAAATAATCCATTTTCCCATATCTGTGGTGGAAAATAGAGTACATAATAACCTTAAATTGCAGCAAGGAGGAGTTAAGTAACAGTTCCTCAGAGTTCAGTCCCTTGGGGCCACGTGGGACTTCCCAGCACCAGGAGTTGGATCTGGACCAAGGCAAGGATAGTCCTCTGAAATGCCAAAGATGTGTTTGTGCTTCCAGGTGTTAGAGAGAGTCTGAAATTCAACCCAGTGGCGATATCTGGATTATTTCAATGGCAGTTTAGGAGTGTTGCCACAGCACGGGGTGAATGACCAAGATGTCCCATCCCCAGAAGTGGTCAAGGCCAGGCTGGACAGGGCTTGGAGCGACCTGGCCTAGTGGAAGGTGTCCCTGCCCATGGCAGGCACTTGGAACTGGATGATCTTTAAGGTCCCTTCCAACCCCAACCGTTCTGGGATTCTATGAGGCACAAAGTGCTGGACACTTGGAGCTCCTCAGTCAGTGAAATGGGTGATTTTGTCTCCTGCCATGGGCATTGTTCAGAGCAACTCATTCAGACTGCCTTATGTGATGTGTGGAGCTTATCTTAAATTCAACTGTGCAGAGTTTGTCCCACACTGACCTTGTCTTCCTTCTTCTTCGCAGCCCTCCACGAACTCCAGTAAAAGTTGTGCCTCAAATTAGAATAGAACTTGAGCCTGAAGACAATGGTTATTTCTGGAGGAGCAAGGGAACAGAAACTACTTTGTAATTTGTCTGTCTGTCCAATCTTCTATGGAATTTATTTTGTCACTAGCCAAATATTAAAAAGCTCCCTGCTCCCCGCTGGCAAAGGTAAATGAGCCACCCCTCTGCCCATGCCCCCCAGGTCCCTCCGGGCCCCCCCACGCCGACACCAGGACTCGGATTGCCTTCTCCAAAGTGTCTCCCGTTGCAACGAGGGCAGGAGCAGTTAAGGATGTCACGTGGTACCTGTGGGAAGTGCCAGAGGCGCCGTGGTGATCGTGCACCCGTCGCTTGTCTGGCAGAACAAAGCTGACCTCCAGGCTGATTCCGTGTCTGCTCCCACTGCTCGGGGATGCTGGAACGTGCTGCTAACCCTCACGCTCTCACCTGTAGTTAAAAGGAGAAGGTACTTCACTCCCAGCACAGACAGACCGTTGCCATTGCTGTAGCATGTTTGGAAATGTCCCTTTCCTATGCAATTTTTTTTTAAAGAAACACTTTAATGGACTTAATCCGTCAGGTACATGGAAGAGTGTTATTTTCCTAGATTATTTTGTTTAAATTATGGGGGCCTAACCTATGACTTCTTTTTTTTTTGTCAATTTTTTTAACCTTTTTTTAATTACTGTAAAGAAAAATGAATTTTTTTCCTGCAGCAGGAAACGTATAGTTATGAGTAGTTCTACCTCTTATTTTTAGATGCCAGGCTTTCTGTAAAAAATGTATTGTACCATATATAATGTGATTTTTACAAAAAAACAAACCCACCACACCACAATCTCCAGGACATGGCACAGGGCTGGATCGGTTCCATTAACACCTTCTGCTCCGAAGCATCTGGCTTTTTTAAGGGTTATGTTGGTTTTATGGGTTTTATTTTTTATGAGTAATCTTTGCTGTGAAGGAGACGGGATGTGATCCGCATCCTCCTGCATCCCACACCGTCAGCTGTGGAATTTACCCGAAATCTTTGCTACCCAGCTTCTCAGCCCCAGACCCAGCAGTGCAGCAGGACCAAGCAGGCCAGGATTTTGGGGTGGAACCAAGTAAGCATCACCTCAGGAGAGGATTTTCTCTCTGTAGTGTGTTTATACTGGTGTGTGCATCTAAACAAGCCTTTGGGAAACTGGGCTTCACCAGGACATGAGGGAACACACTAAAAGCTTCATCCAAAAATTAAAATAAGAAGAAAGAATCCCCGAGCTGTCCAGGCGAATTCCCTGATGGAGACAACCCCACCGCAGAGGAAGGGCACGTGCTGCCGCTTGGTCCTTGTGAAACCAAAGTTCCTGTTGGTGAAGTCGAGAGGATTTTCTGATGGTGCTGAGACCTTAAATGCCAAATTTTAGCATCTGCTCCCACGAAGGAGCCGTCACCTCCGTACATCCCCTGCTCACTCTCGAGGGGTCTTCGCTTCCGTTTCCATGAAAGTTGTGTTGTGTATCACAGGAACGCAGCTGAAACCTCCTCTGAGAAGGCTGGAGAGACATGGGAAAAGGCCTGAAGAGGAGCAGCTCAATCCAAATTGGGTATTTCGTAGGAAAAGCCTGTGTGGGCGCTTCAGGGAATAGGTGTGGAGGCTGACCCAAAGCCCTCTGAGATCAGTCGGCTGTCAACAACGACCTTCCCCTTGGAAATCCAAGGTCCCAGCTCCCGGTGGGACCTGTGATGGCCACCAACCACAGCCAGCTTTGTCCCAGCTCCGGGAACACGGTGGCCACCAGCCTCTGGCCTGCTGATACACCTTTGTATTTGTATTTTTATTTTGAATCAACAGCACTTTCAGCTACTTTTACTATTGTTTTTAATTCTCCTAAGTCTGTATTTGCTTTGGAGGAGAGAATGAAAACTTGGGATGAAATGAAGTGGATCGGGATGGTGGAACAAAAAGGAAAAAAGCAGAAAACATTTCAAATATTATTAAAGTGATTTTTTTTTCCAGTAATATAAAACATGAAATTCCTTATAACATTATAGTATTTTACAGTTTTATGAAGCTTTCTATTGTGACTTTTATGGAATCAAAAGATGAAGATGATGAGATATTTTAGCATTTATATTTTTCAAAATTAAATGTATACTGAAAATAAAGTAACTTTATGCATTTATGGGAGAGTTCATGTCTATTTTCGCTCATTATGTGTCGAGTCTTGTCTGATTGAATTGAGATCTGAGGATCACTGTGGTGGAATGGGAGATTTAGGGGTGTTGGGGCTACCCGGGGATGGGAACCCTCTCCAGCTACCGGGAACGGCGAGTCCGCACTGCAGGACTTGACCGACAGGGCCGAGGACTGCGGGAGGGACAAGGGGTTGTGGCCACACACCACATACCATCTCATCCCACCCCTGGTTTGGGGTCCATCACCCGCTTTAGGTCAGTCTCTCCTCGGTGCTCCGGCACCGGGGCAGGGTCGCGCCCCGGGGCTGCAGTACCGGCCGTGCCCACCGGAGGGCACCGCTCTCCCGTGCCGCGGCACAGCTCCGGCTCCCCCGGCCCGAGCGGGACCGTGTCCCGTTCCCTGGTGGGATCCCAGCCCCGCTATGGCCGCAGCGGTCCCCATCCAAGCCCCAGTCACACCTCGGTCCTGCGGCCGTGGGACCCGCACCCCGCCCGCCGAGCGAGAGGCGGCACCGGCTGGAACCTGCAGCGGGCACGGGCAGGATCCGGGAACGAGCCCCAGGAACAAACCCCCAGGAACGAGCCCCCGGATTTAATAGTAATGGGTTTGAAATCCTCAAAAGCTCAGTGATGACAGAACAGTGTCACTTTCTTTATCAGCTCATCTCTAAATTTGATATGTCACAAGAAGCTGTGCAGAAATACCCGTCTCAACAAAGATCTCCCAGAGCAGCCCGAATCCAAGTGTGCTTCACTTCAGCTGTGCACAAGCACCACTCCTGCTCACCTCCGTGCTGTGTTTGACAGAGTCTGACAGAACATTCCTTTTGGGAACGTGCTGGTTCCTGCTCACGAGGAGGCTGATACACCAGACTTACTGCCTGAGGTACAAAACACTCTCCGGAGTAATCACCCCAACAACTGTATCAGATAGAAACACATACTTAGAAATAACAATTGTGATGCCAAGGTTTCATGTTTTAAATGTTCTCTCTCTCCCTCCAGAGTTCTCCTGGGAATGTAGGGATGGTGTTTAAGAGCAGCATAAGGAGAACTGACAGTCACTGTTCCTCACTTTTCAGGACAGCAACACAGCCAAACTGAGCTTGTAACATAGGCACTCCCAGGATAATTTGTATATCTCATTAACATGGTTTGACACTAATGCTAATTCTTCATTAGAAGAATCAGGACAGGGAGGCTGATTTAACACCTAGAGGGATTTGTGGGCTACAATGAGGACACTGAACACAAGTCTGGTGCTCCTGAAAAGAGCAAGTATTGACCTGACAAGTGCCTCAGATCGATCTGTGACAAGAAGTGGGAGGTGGAGTTGGTACCAGTCACTGTCCCTTCACACACAGTCACTGGCCTGCAGAAAAGAAGGGGGTTCCTGCCTGCTGCTCTCCCCTGTCACTGCCCCGTTCCCTGGGAAAGTGCAGCTCTTGTCACTGCAGTGTAAAGGTGGGGAAAAGGTAGCAAGAGAAAGGCAGCCCAGCTTGGGGGGTGACCCTCCCTTCCTTCAGCTGCTGGGAAAGGTGGCCGGGGGTCCCTCAGAGCCACTCCAGCTGAGGAGCTGCACCATCGCCAGAGGGACTGGGCAGTGATGGGGCAAGGACAGCTCCTAAAATGCCAAGCTGGAGGAACGAGCTGCCCAGGCCTCCGCACCAAGCCCTGTGAAGGGCATTTGGGCTGCTGGAGAACGGCCCAGCAGAGAGGTTCTGCTCCTGCCAGCCCAGCTGTTGCTTCCAACCGCATAGGAGGGGAGGTATTTTATCAGGACAGTCGCTCATGGAACGGGTTGCCTAGGGAGGTTGTGGTATCCCTATCCGTGGAATTTTTCAAAACATGACTGGATCCCTTCCTAAGCAGCCCAGTCCGATCCCATTGGTGACTGTGGCCTGAGCAGGAGGTCAGACCTAGAGACCTTTAACTGTCTCTTCTGACCCAGATTCCTCTACAGTCCTGCGGCAGTTCTGGCTTTTTACAGTCCCTGAGACCTGTTGGTTCCACGGTCTGCAGAGAAGCTCCTTTGCCCAGCAGGCAGTCCTGGAATGCTCAGACATCCATGGCAGAGATTCCCAGAGCTGCCATGTGCCCCAGCTGTCCCTGAGCCCCAGCTTTGGCTTTGGCACTGAAACGCTGCCGGGACCTGTCCCTGCTGTGCAGGTCCATGGGGCTGCGGGACACGGTGTCACGCAGCACACACGGCCACCGGGCCCTGCCAGCTCCTCCAGCCTGTGCTTCCTGATTGCCAGAGATTTTAGGGGCCGCCTGTCTCCGGGGATGGGCGGAGAAGCAGAGATTTCCTGTGACTGGGAGCAACACAGGGCCTTGGCAAGGCAAGAAAATCGCCCCGGCTTCAGATCACCGTGTGCAATTCCATATCCAGGTTTTCTCACACAACAGCAGGTTCTTGTCAGTTCCCAATATCCCCAAGCTGAGCGGGCGGGGCGGGGCCACAGGGACAGGCGGGCTGGGATTGGGCGGAGGCGCTCGAGTGCTGATTGGGCAGCGGCTGCGGCCCGCGCTATATAAGGTTGGGCGGGGCAGGTGCGGCTGGTTGTGTGTGAGGGGTGAGGGTGCGGCCCCGCTGCTGCCCGGGCTGCGGAGGTGAGAGCGCCTTGTCCGCTGTGTTTATGGACTGGGAGAGCTGGGGGGCGTTTAGGGGCGCGTTGTGTTGGGCAGCGGGGGCCGGGTAAACCCCTTACCTGCCGGGTGAGCCCGGGGGGAGCCGTGGCTGGGCTGCGGGGCTGTTGCTCTCTGGGTGTCTCAGGGTTTGCCTCGGAATCCCAAAGCCTTTCCCTGTGCAGGGTTCCGAGGCAAAGACTGCTTTAACTTGGTTTTTTGGTGCTGCATTAATGCTTTTTGCTCGTTCTGTGTCAATTTGCAGCCTGGCTCGTGGTTTCTCCTGGTGCTGGCGGAGTGGAGGTGAGTTGTGCTTCCTGCTGGGAGAGAGAAGGGCCTGGGGAAGCTGCTCCGTGAACCACAGCTGTGCCGAGCCTGGGAGTCTGTCCAGGTAAGAGCAGGGCTTATACTGCCAGTGAGGAGCTGGGTTTTGCTGTGGGAAGATAGAATATGCACGTGCCTTTAAATGCAAGGACAGGCAGAAGCTGGGAGGGACCCTGAGCAGGTTTGGTGGCACGACAGCAGTTTTAAGAGACCTTGAGTGTGGGGGAAGTGTCCAGGAAAAATGATTCCTTTTTTGCAGAGAGGCAGTTTGCAAGAACAGAGAGGTTGCTGTGCTCTCTAGCAAAAATACTCTCTAGCAAAAATACTCCCTTTGGGATGTACAGGGTGAGGAAATCTTGGCCACGTGTGGGCTGGAGAAAAGGTGTGTGGGTGCCTGTGTGTGACACCCGTGTGTGTGCAGGAAGGGGGTTCTGGTGCCATTGGAGCTGCCAGGGAGCCAAAAAGGGCACAGTTGTTTGAAAAAGGCAAAAAGTCTCAGCTGCTGTTGACACCTGCACCAAAGGAGATGCAAATTTTCCCCGTCTTTGGTCGCAGGCTTCACAAAGCTCCCAGGAAAGAAAGTTTTAGATTCCAACTCACCTTTATGCTAAAGGTTTCCTTGCTTTCTCAGCAGGATGTCGAGTGCCACCGTGTCCCTGAGGTCACCCTTTCTGCTGTTGGGAGAGCACGAGGTGGATGGAGAGGATCCCCAGGCATCTGCAGGCACAAGGGACTCAAACTGCGATTTTCCTCCAGCCCTCATAAGGTGGACTTTCAGGATACCATGGGTAATGTGCCAGCTCTCCTGCTGGAGTTTTTGTTTTCTGCTATATTTGAACGTAAAGAGTAAAACTAAAGTCAGGTCTGTTCTGGAGTAGGTTACGCTTGTGCAAAGCTCCTTCCTTCTATTTATTTTCTGTTCTGAAAAACACAGTCTGGGCTTCCTGGGCACTTGCTGTTAAGTGATACTATGAAAATAATATTGTACTAAAAGGGGAAAGGAGCTGTCTATTTGAGATCAGATGTCCCTGGTAAAAACTATATGTTTTTTCACTCAGTAAGCTCTTAAAATATCTCACAGTGTACAGGAATGCCTGGCTTCCAACACTCACCAATTGAGTCTTAGAGGCTTCTTTGAAGAGCTATTTTCAGGCAGCAGAATTGGTCCCCCAGCAGGGACTCTGTGCCTGCTCTCCCGTGGCTCCAAGGGATCTCTGGGCCTTCATGCCAGCACCGAGATTTTCTCGGGAAGGGCCTCGGATCCCCGGAGCAGTCTGGGACACTGGCAAGATCCCCCTGCCTTTAAAAATGAGGCCTTCTTGTGGCTTCCTACCCGTACACGTTGGTGGGTTCCAAAGAAGGACTCTTGAAATCCCTTTTGGGAGCAAATTGGGCCCCCCTGGAGGGACAGTGCTGTTGGTGCCCCCCGGGCTGGGGCACCCCGAGGACTCCAGCGTGCACCGAAAGGATTATTCGGGGAGATCCTCTGGGTGCCCGGCCCTGGGGAGCTCAAAGCAGGGTCCCTGGAATGGCTTCAGGCATTCCTGAGAGTATCCCAGGTGTACCTGTCCCTGCTAGACGTGGAGCTCTCTAATGGACTGTAATTGGGTTATAAAAGTGGTGCTCCAACTGCAAAAGAAGTGTGGGATTGGGCTTAAGAACTGAGCAGGGATGGTACAATTGGCTGTTTTCTCTGGAATATAACTGTAAGAGCTCCAGGAGCGCCAGGTGTGTGTTCCAGTCCCCAGCATTTGGTTTGCACATGTCCTGGTCAGACACAGGTCCAACTTCCTCAGTCCTTAACACAAGAGAAGGAGACTTAAGGACTGGCACTGTTCAGGTGATTGGTGTGACAGGGGTTAAACTGGGAAAACATTGGGTAATTCCTCAGTTTGTCTATTTGCCAAACTCACCCAAACCTGTGCTAGGAAGAGATGGACTGGAGTCTCTGATCTCCTGGGCAGTTGTTCTGCATGACCTGGGAGCCTGTGGGATTAGACTGGACTGGGCAGACAGGGAGCAGTTTGTCCTGTGGAGTTGGGCTGGGTTTGTTCAGGATGCCTTGGGAGGCAGGGCTGGAGAGGCTGCTCTGTTGGCTGTAGTGGTGGAAGGTTGTAGCAGGAGGGATGGAGCCTTTGACCTCCTGCTCCCCCCGTGAGCCCCGACGGGCCCGTGCATTGGCAATGGAGGGCCCCCCATTGCTGAGTCAGTGGTTCGGGGGCCAGCAGGGATGGGATCAGGATGCCGAGCTCCACCCAGGGCCAGGGCTTCAGATGTTGCACCCATGGAAAGAACTGAAAGCAGAGTGAGATGGAGGCCAAGCTCCAGCACAAGGCTGGGTGAGAAAAGACCCTGCTTCTCAGGTGGAGCTTTGAATTCCCTGGAAAAATGGATCCTGTCAAACGGTTCAGGCCCTTGTGGGTGCTGGAGCCGAGGCCTCTTTAATTTATGGTCACCCTGAAAGGTTGCAAGGACAGCAAGTTTTGACTGCAGGATGAGGTGGGAAACCAAGTGAAGTGGTCCAGAGAAAAGCTGAGCTTAAAATGGGTCCTGTGGCAGAGCAGCCTTGTGGAGTGCTTGTTGCTGGCCCTGAGTGTCCCATTGCAGTGGATATTTCCAAGGGTGCCTTGTGTTGGGAGCCTTACTGACTATTCACTCCTACCACTGCATTTGACATTTTCAAGAAAATATAAATTTTACTTCTGACATTTGTAGGGGTTTTTTTGTTTGTTTGTTTTTGAATCAGTTTTCTTAAAATAGTGTAAATTGTTTTCTTATCAATAGAAATAAAGGGCAGAAAATAGTTAAAAAACATTTACACATGGAATGAAATTTAACATCTCACCGCCTTAAAGCCCAATATGTTCATTAATTCATATTTTTAAATATACAACTGGCTGATACAAAACTTTTATTAAGTTTAGCAGTTTCATGTTCTTCTAACTGTGATAAAGAATGCAAGAAACCTTTTATCAATCAGCAAACAAAATTGCTACACATATTATAAAAACTAGAACAATAGAAACAATTTACTAAGGAGCTAAATTTGAACTAAATAAATTCACCCACAGATTGTTTCAACATAGATTGCATGCTGATTACCAATCAATTGCTGAACTCAAGGTAAAGAAAAGGAATTAAAACCTTCTGTTTCATGGTATGAAAAGAGAGAGAAATTCTCCTTGTTGCCTAAAAGCCTTTGTAATCATTTTTCACTATGTGAATTAGTATCATTTTAACCAAGAACATTTAAGTTTATCTCCACAAAACCAGAATGCTACAGCTTCAAAAATTTTCCCTATTTTTTAATTTTTTTAATTCCCAATAGCTTTAAAAGTAAAAGTTATTAGAAGTTATTAAATTCTCAAATACATCCACGTACATGCAATGATCACAATAATGTTATTCAAGTAATAAGTGTAGAATCTTAAACATCCCCATATTTGTTACCTTCAAACGCCCTCAAAACATTTTGCTGTCACAAAACAACATCCCTAAGGTCAACAAGAGTGCAAAATAGCTGCTTGAGAATCACAGCCACCTCAGAGACTGAATTAAACCTGGCTACAGTTACTTTAACTGATGTTATTAGAAATGGAGACTGTAAAACGTTCCAGAAAAAATCAACAGGACCAACAATGGAATCTCCAAAGAAAACTACACAAGGAAAGATGATCTTTAAAACCTTCAGCCAAAAAGCAAAAGCCACTGTGACATGGAGGGACTCACCACTCTT